GTATTTTTGTTGATGTGTTTTACAATTATTTTGATTTTGGTGGAGATCAAAGCTACTTATTAGTACTCTGCTAATTAGCAAAGCAAACTAATCCAAAATATTGAATAATGTATCTTTGAGTAATAGTTACATGTTTCCAATAATATCATGGACTTGAAATTAATGAAAAATAATACTAATGTCATTTTAATACCAGCTGCAGGTTATTTGAGGAGGACTTTGAAATTAATATATTACGATTTTTCTATCATTCACAAAAAATGACATTTTTGTTTTACTGAAAATCGCGGACTGACAACAGTTGACATGCTTAATGGTTAATTATTAATAGACAAAAAACTGTGAAAGTTGCTGTTAAAATAAATGAGGGTTATATAACTCGTCATCGTTTTCCACGTTTCATTTTCTAATTTGGGAAGCATATGGACAAACGTGACTCGTACCTATGACAAAGTCCGCACGATAATTATTTCATACAATAAATATAAGAGAGAATTACATTTAAGACCCAAAAATAGAATTAATTACCTTAAAATCCATCTACAAGCGTGAAGAGAAAACAGTAACAAATTCTAGAATAGAATATGACAACAAATTTAAACTGATCATTTGTCATTAAAATTTTTTAGTAATTAAATTTTTTCAATTACTTCTTAATAATTCTCCTCAAATATAATTCTTCTTTGTAAGAGCATTCACAGTGAACATTAAAAACTAATCTCTCTAAAAACATCAAAAGTAAAAGCGCAAACATTTATTAAACTCTATCAAATACTCCTCCGGTCCTTATTATAAGACCCAATTTGACTTTTTATTTGGTCCTAATTATAAGACCCAATCCATTTTCTCTCTTATATTTATGTATTTTTTTCCAAGATAATCCTTCTAATAATGATAGTTTTAACCAATATACTTAATTAGCAAGGATATTTTAGGAATGACAACACTTATTTATTATAAATAACCAACTTAACTTACTTCTTTAATCTCTTCAAATAAGTCAATTGGGTCTTATAATTAGGACCGGAGGAGTACGTTTTTTGCATTTACATAAATTTGAATTTGGGATTTCGTATTTAAATAACGAAAAGTTAAAACTCGTTTCATTAGTCACTAGGACCAACTTATGTTGGTGCCTGAATTTACATTAAGTGTATGACACGTGTCTGCAAATTGTGTGATATTTTTTGATAAACATGATTATATATGTGATATATATTTGTCTATCCCAAGCGTCCCAAGTGGCAAGAAAGGATGCCTAAATTCGCATCACGCCTGCCGTGAACTTTAAAGTACTCCCCGGCTTCTATTTATCAATTTCAAATGGGAAGAGGTGTGCAATTTATTTTATAATAAACTTTAATTTTGGTGTTTGTTTAACACTTAATGCATTTTTTTAATCTTACCTTTAATTATCTATTTTCTCTCTTTTGTCATAATTTTTCTTATCAAATTTTTTCACACATTCTCTTTCATTTCTCATTTATTATATGAGTATATTTAAAAATAAAAATATATTTTTAACTAATTATTCGTTATCCGTGAACTAGTTACTTGAAGTTTACAATATAAACATGAGAGAGTAGTACTACCTCTGGTCCTAATTATAAGAGCTAGTTAACTAATTTACGGATATTAAGAAAAGAAGTTAAATTAGTTATTTGTGATCAATATGTATTGTCTTTTCTAAAATATCCATATTAATCAAGTATACTGGCTATAATTACTATTGTTAAAAGGACTACCTTGAAAAAAAATGTATAAATGTAAGAGACAAAGTAGACTGAGATCTTATATTTAGGACAAAAATAAATGTCAAATAAAGTCTTATATTAAGACCAGTACTTTCTGGTAAAAAAAAAAAAAACCTCGAAAGCTAATACTGGATTTAGGTCATTTGTGTGTGGACATTTAATTTGACCCGAAAAAACTGAACATTAAACATATTGGTTAGAAAGCAATAGGCCTCAAAATTCCGATCAACGGATATTCCCAATGTGTCACCAGGCAATTAATTTAGATTAACCCTTCATTAATATGAGGCATCGAAAGGAAAGTTCAAGCTAAAGGTTAATTTTGTTCACTAAACCACCAAGATGCTCCTGATGCAATGGAAATATGGTTAATTAGTTTTGTTAATTAACTATCCTAACTAATTAACCAGCTTGACAAAAATATTTCACAAATATTTAATTTTAGAGCAAATTAGAGGGATCTTGTATTTTGTTGCGTTGGCAGTAGCATACAGATTTCTTTCAATTCTAAAGTTTACACAAATCTCTCTTTAAAATAAAATATCCACACTACTGTTAAATTTTCAAAACCCCAGCCTTCATCTGAAAAATAAATAATATTTCTTTAGTTCTATTTATAAAGTACCATATTTCACATAAACTGAGAAAAATCTTAAACTAGACTAACTCTTTATTAAAATATAACAATTTTTTTTAACTTTATTCTTATTTAATATATACATCTTCTAAAAAATATCTAATAATAAATAAATGAAAAAATAGTATATTAAAAATTTAATGAATTACCTTATAAATAGGATCAACAAAAACATCCTCTATATCTTATAAATAGGATGAAATAAGTAAACTACGGAAAATTTTTAATGTTTTTAATGTCATATTTGAAAGCGTGTTGCGTGCGTTTGGAAAATGCTAGGGAGATCTATGTGGTTCTATTAAAATTTAAGAATAATTTTAAGACTAGATTGACCCTACATTTGCATATGGCTTGTGATGAATGGTACTCTTCTGGTCCTAAATATATGATTCTTTTTATAGTGTAATTTACATTACAAAATATAGAACCCATTTTGTAGTGATATTTATAATTTTTTATATAATTTTTTATAGAACCCATTTTTCTGGTCCTAAGCATATTTAGGACTAGAGGAGTATAATTTTTTATATAATGATATTTATACGTAGTAATTTGTGTTAAAGCCTTGTGGGATGTTTGAAGGCTTTGTAAATTTAAAAAATATATTGAATCGATGTAATTAAAGAAATATTGAATCGATGTAATTAAAGAAATAAATCATAAAACGAGGAATAAATAATATTTTTTCTGATACACCTCCAATAATAACTGTATAAAAGAATTTTCCCACCTTGAGCATTAAACGATGAAAAAACTGAAGAATTATGTAATTTGATCCTTTTTTTTTTTCCCCGGTGAAAGAAAAGGGGTCAAGCCCAGTACAATTAAGTGATGACTATTCTTCTAGGAATTTCAAAACCAGCAGCTTCCTGAAAGGGAGGGAGTAAATTGTAATATACTGGCTAATATAAGCCATACGTATGATTGTTTGCAATGGAGAGGAGAAATGAGAAATATAAGGGGGAAAGGATATGATGAAGAAGAAGGGGTAGAAGGAAGATTAAATATTCCGTGGAAGCAATAATAAAATTATACAAATGCAACGAATGGGGTCAGGACACAGCATAATCAGATATTTACTGTGCTGAAGTAAACCCACTAATCATTTTACTTGTTTCATATAAGCACTACCTCTCCCCCACGTTACATATGTGCATGAACTTCTTTAACTTATTTCATAAATCATACTACCACTTTTGGAATCCCATCACTCCACAATTTTGACCCACAAAAATTGGGGGCTATTAAAAATTTTATCTGTGAGAATGACTTAATAAAATTTTGTACATAAATAATACTTTGCAAAATTTGTATACAAATAAAACTTTTAATGAAGTATTTTTTTTCTCATTTTCCGGGAAAAAACCATGTTTTTATGCCTAAAAATAGCCATGCGCGGTGAAACAAGATTGGAAAAAAAGATTTTTAAATGACTTTAGCCAATTTAAAACACAAAACTGACTTTAACTAATTTTCTTTATATGTATAAGATGTGTGTTTGTGATTTATATTTGGTATGAGATGTGACAAATTCAAAAAGTTCATCCAATTTTTTCATGAAAAAAATTAGGGTCTAATATGAGTTATTAGTGTCCAGTGATTTAATAAAAAGCGAACAAAAATCTAGAACTAATATAAGCACGCTAAATTGAACTCACAAATTTTAAATTTTAAAAACGCGAAAGTATATTGGTCAAATAATTTCGTCACAATCAAGGTCACCTGGGTTTATTATTAAGGAGGTGTTTGTGCTAACACAAAAATACTTTTAAAAAGTACTTTTACATAAATTGAGACAAATTTTTTTTATACACTTATTTATTTTGTATGTTATAAAATTACTTTTAAAAATATGATTTTATTTTTATTCAAACATCTCCTACGTCTTACTCCCATCTAGAAATTTTTTGTCATATAAAAAATTATTTTGCTATGTTTTGAAATTAACATATCAAATATACCTTATAGCCCGGTAGCGTAGAGCTTTCTTGTCTCTTGGCCAGAAAAAAAGAAAAAGAAAGAAAAGAAATAGAACTCTCTTATAAATGGGAGTTGATGAGTTAGATCTATTTTGTAATCTTACATGCCTTTTTAATTGAGAAAATGGATCCATCAGCTATATGACCAAATATTTAATAATAAAGAAGTTGGCAAGAAAAAAATTAATCATAAAAAAAATAGAACATGGAAGTTAATCAGAGTGTTAATATAATATTTGATTCCTTAATTTTTCTGTTATTTTAGTTTTAGTTTTTTAAATTTGAAGTAATAAGTTTTAGTCATTTAAGAAATAAACTGATATAAGTTTTTACTAAATTATAGGAACTAATATTTTAAATAAAAAAATTTAAAAAATTAAAATTTATGATTCACAATTTAAGAAATCAAAATTAAAATATATTATATTAAGCCTTTAAAGAAAGACAACCATGAAAACAAACTCAGCTTTTTAAACCTGAAAAAGTTATAACAATTAAAACGAACTCGATTTTTACAACCAGAAAAAGTTCAAAGAGAGGCAAACAAAAGAAGGAATAAAAGGAGGTTTTCCCATACTGTGTCCAAAAGTCCTTGCCTTTTAAATCTCCCGAGAAACATAAAGGAGAAGGTGTGTTTAGAGAGAAGAAAGGCTGTCAGATACCAAAATATCCCACATCCTTCCCTCCCTCTTCCCGCTTTTAGATTCTTGCCATATACTCCCTCCCTCCTCCATTACTGCCCCTCTCTTGAAACTTTAAAACCTTTCATCTTTTCTGTATTTATTAAACATATCTATACATACACAAACATATACGCACAGTATATATATATATTAGCGCCTTTCTCTTCTTCTGTATATTCCCATGGCTTCTTTTCTCTCACTACTTTTCTTTGCCGCCGTCTTCACCGTTTTCCTCTTCCTCCTCCGGCGGAGCCGCTACCGGAAGCTCCATCTGCCGCCGGGGAGCTTAGGCCTGCCTTTTATCGGCGAGACGCTTCAGCTCATCTCCGCCTACAAGAGTGAGAACCCGGAGCCTTTCGTCGACAAGCGGGTGAACCGGTACGGGGCGATATTCACGACGCACATATTTGGGGAGCCGACGGTGTTCTCGGCGGACCCAGAGACGAACCGTTTCATTCTGCTGAACGAGGGGAAGCTGTTCGATTGTAGCTACCCCGGTTCGATATCGAACCTTCTGGGCAAGCACTCGCTTCTGCTGATGAAAGGTGGCCTTCACAAGAGAATGCACTCGCTCACCATGAGCTTCGCAAACTCCGCCATCATCAAGGATCATCTCTTGGTCGATATAGACCGGCTGATCCGGCTCAACCTGGATGCCTGGACCGATCGGGTCTTCCTCATGGAGGAGGCCAAGAAGGTAACCCCTCCTTCCCCGCCTTAATTCATTTCCTTTCTTCTCAATCACAAATCACCAACTTTCCCAAATCTTTATAACTCGACCAACTCTACCGGTTCGACTCGGTCCTGGATCGTCCGAGTCCATCTCGATGGCCATCACATGGGGCTTGGGACTGTTGGAGCTGGTGGTGGTCCAGTAAGGACTAAAAACACCCTCTTTCCCCCCTCCCTTCCCCCCGCCTTCTTTTTAATTTATTTTTTTAAAAGAAAATTTGGTTGATTATGGCTTTAGTTTTCAATTAAAATAATTCCCCCCGTTTAATTAATATGTTAAAATCCGTGGTATTTGCATAGAAGCCCCACGTTAAGCCCATATAGAACCCACCAAAAGCACAGTTTACGGCTAAAAATAATAATTTGCATATTAAGGATAACATGCCTTTGAGCGTCACATGCTATAGTATTATATATGTATTTTCCGTATTTAATTTTTTTTAATTTTTGAATTTTAGTTCATGAATACACACACGTGTGTGTGTATAACGAGAATCACATTGTGTAATGCGTGCTTTGGTGATTTGAAAGTGATGAAGAAGGAAAATGTGTGTTGCAGATAACGTTCGAGCTAACGATGAAGCAACTGATGAGCTTCGATCCGGGGGAGTGGACGGAGAGTCTGAGGAAACAGTACGTGATGGTGATCGAAGGCTTCTTCACGCTGCCTCTGCCTCTCTTCTCCGCCACCTACCGCCGAGCCATCAGGGCCAGGACTAAGGTCGCCGAGGCCCTCACGCTCATCGTCAGGGAGCGCAGGAATGACAATCGCGCCAGATCCGACATGCTCGGGGCACTCATGGCCTCCGGCGACCACTTCTCCGACGAGCAGATCGTTGATTTCATGATCGCCTTGCTCGTCGCCGGCTACGAGACCACCTCTACCATCATGACCCTCGCCGTCAAGTTCCTCACCGAGACTCCTCTCGCTTTGGCTCAGCTCAAGGTAACATCAATCCTACCTCTGTCAAAAAAGTCTACATTCTTCACTTTTCACTGTGGTTAAAAAGATCATAAATATCATATTCATACTTTCGGACACGCGATATATTTATCCACAACTAAATATTTTATATTAACCTCGATCCTAATTATAAAATTTCTAAAACAGATATTTTACTGTGGACGCATTGCAGTAAAAAGCGGATAGTTGTGTGTGGCAACTCTTCCTGTAAGAAGCTGAGATTAGATTAACAAATTTAAATTAAAATATCTTTGTTTTGGGGGTTCATTTTTATGAAATTAATCAAGGTTGCTTCAAAGATAAAAAATAAAGAAGGTCAAAAGCAGGAGGGGAAGTACATGTCGTAAAGTCAAAGAAGAAGACACGAATGTCGAGCCAAAGGGACAAAATTATTACATCCAAACTGCACGCTGAGGGGTTTTTGTCAAGATGACAAAGTCCCCAAAAATCAATTCTGCAGAAAAAAATAAAATCGGTCGTGTCAGAGTCTCTGATCACACATGTTTCTTGACCCCTTCCTTCTCCCATTCCTATATTTGTTACCCATCTGTAATTTTGCAAATAAAGTACACTAAATTTTCAGGTTAAAAACAAATACCAATTTTTTTTGATTTTTTGTTTTTTTTTCCTTTCAAAATATTGGATTCTTCTCAAGTGCTCAAGCTTAAACTTGTTCTGCTGTGAAGCTGTGTCCTTTGACGCATACCTAATAAATACTATGGGATATCGTGCGGTGGTGGTTTCAGCTTTCAAGGCCTTTGTCAAATCCAACGGCGCGTATTAAATATTAATTAATGCTCCAAGATCACACTTGAATGATTTTATTATGCGGGTTGCTAAGTTTAATTAAGCGGTTTGATAACGTTGTGCTTTCTCTGATTCCTAGGACAGCTTTTGGGTTTTGCCAACTCATCTGTATCTGTATCACTTTTTTGGTTTCCTTTTTATCGTGCCAGGGTTGTATTCCAACAAAGCCCACAAGTTGTTAGAGATTTAATCAAGCTAATTAATTGATAATTTGCCTTGTGATTAAGAGTTTAATGGGAGGATTTGGTGGTGGTTTTAGGAAGAGCATGATCAGATCAGAGCGAAGAAGGGGGATGCAGAAGCTGCTGTGGAGTGGAGTGATTACAAGTCAATGGCGTTTACTCAATGTGTGAGTGTATTCCACATACAGACAACATCAAAACCTTCTTTCATTCGTTTGTTTAATGTTATATAATATATAAATGTACATAAAAATATATGTGTATATAATCCCCTCTTCTTGTTTTCTGGGGTGTGGTATTCAGGTTGTGAATGAGACTCTGCGCATGGCTAACATAATCGGTGGGATTTTCAGGAGGGCCATGACGGACGTCAATATAAAAGGTGACCATTATGCAAAGTTAAAGCTCTTGTAGTTATTCGTAACATATGAGACACATATGGACATTATTTTTCAATGTACCAACTAAAATTTTGTGGTACGAAATATAGGTTATACAATTCCTAAGGGGTGGAAGGTGTTTGCATCATTCCGTGCTGTGCATCTGAACCCAGACCATTTCAAAGATGCTCGAACCTTCAATCCATGGAGGTGGCAGGTAAACCTCTCTCTTTTTAGCTCCATTTTTATTTGTTGTGTTTTGTTTCATCACTTGGGTTTCTTATATATATGAAATTGAACAGAATAACTCGGAAGCAGCAAGCCCAGGAAATGTATATACACCATTTGGAGGAGGGCCAAGGCTGTGCCCTGGCTATGAGCTTGCTAGGGTTGTTCTCTCTGTCTTCCTTCACCGCATGATCACTCGTTTCAGGTCATTATTCAATTCAGACACTACTTTTTCTGATTACAAAGTGCGGTAACTAGATCAGTCTTAACGATAAGTGTCATTTTTTTTTCCTGTTGTTTTCTCTAATGTGATGGCAGGTGGGAAGCAGCGGAGGAAGACAAGGTGGTGTTTTTTCCAACAACGAGGACGCAGAAGAGGTATCCAATCATAGTGAAGCGCAGAGAAAGAGGGCCGACGAGATTGTAAAGTGCAATGAACAGCACGTACGTACGTAGGGGATAGAATGCCTAACACACAAGATTTAGCAGTGAGAATTGAGATTGTAGCTGTTCATGAGCCTTGATGATCAGTGCAATGCCACGTTATAATAAATATTATAATCATAATTATATGTATAATGGTAGTTTTAGTGTTTAATTAAATGTATATGTTCATTGCTAGTTAATGCTAGCAAGCAAGTCCTGTTCACAGCTAACATCCTTGAAAAAGCCACCTACTCGTCTCTGCAACTTCCCAAATACCCGCGCTCCATCCACATTTCCTGTATACTCGTGGCGGACGCTCGGTTGCACCTACTTAACCATGCATGTGTGTGTGTTTTATGGTATATGTTATACAAGTGGCATGTGTATTTATGGTATTGAGTTTGGGGCCACGATCTCCTTTTTTTCTTAATCCACTGTAATTACTTTAATATTGTGTAATTTCTTTCATTGTAAACATAATTTTTACCAAAATAATTTTATTATTGTTATAACTTGTGGTATTATAATTTTTTAGTTTCTCAGTTCTGTTTCTGTTAATGGACCAATTTATTATCTATCCATTGTTACTAGAAGACTGAAATATATATTTATATATATAATTTCCAAATGGAATTCGTGAGGGAAATAGAAGAATTCCTTCCCAAAAATATCAGAAGCAGAGGTATCTTGAAGACGTGAAAAGTGAAGGAGCAAACAGAAATCCAAGTTATCATTCTCCAAACCGCAAGGTAAACAGACCATCAAAACATGCGCTTACCCAAAACTTTGTATTCGGCCCATAAATACCTAGCCAACTTGCCATTAATACAACTTTTTAAGCCGAGTGCAAATTACCAGGGGATTTTTTTTTTTTTGTAATCCAAATATCATGTATCTTAACCTCTAACGCTACAATATTTATATATCAACGAAAAAGATTCCGTAGAAGTAATGTGGAAATATTACTTTAATTACCAGACTGCGTTTGCCAAAAAAAATTTGGACAGGACTGCTCTTATCAGCCGAAGAATCAGTCGTAGTACATACTGGCCCGCCTTCACTAGTCTGATCAAACCCCACTGTTCGCACGCAGGCGTAGCCTCCAAGAAGATTCCAGTGAAGCTTCTTTAGCAAACCCCAATAAAAAGAATGGATACCGCCCAGCTCAAAAGGTAAGGTTACATCAGCTATGGCATTTCTCTGCTCTGCCTTTCCAAAAAAGGATGTTGGAGCACATAATATGCAACAATGCTCGATGCCATGTGATCTGTAATTAAGATTTTCCACTCTTCTTGGAACAGGCAGAGTGTAGTGGAAACTTATAACCTGTGCTTGCAGGTTTTCTTGCGTCTAAGTTTTGCAGGTTCTGTTAGAAGAGGCGCATGACAAGGCCAGTTAGAGTATTCCTACTAATCCCAAATTACAAGCCCTAACATAAGTAGTGCTTCAATCTTGTTACAAACAAGAGGATCAAGGTCTAGGAACGCTTGATTCCCTACGACCTTTTTCCCGTGTTCTCAAGAGGGACTCAACAACCTTAACCTTTCTCGTATTCTCACTATTTAAAAGGGAAAGTTTTTCAAGCGATGATTTGAGCATCGATTTCTGGGCCTTGTCAACATGACTCTTCCTACCTGTTATTTGCTTTTGGTGGCTATTGGCTTTGGATGATTGCAGAAACCTCCTCAGCCTAGCACTTAGAGCATCAACAGAAGAATGCAAAGCATCCAACTCAACTTCCCTGAAGTGGTCTGCAAACAGAAAACAAAAGTAAATCAACTAAGCCCTTCATAATTTTGGGGAGAGAGGTATTGCTACAGCTAATGCAGAGAGGGCAGGCAAGCAAGCAAAAGAGACTGAAACTTTCATGGGATGTAACATCCATTACCAAGCTCAGACTTGAATTGTTGCTCGGCCCTAGATAATGGCTTGTTGTGAGCACCAGGTAACTTCCTTAATTGTTGCAAGCGCTCTTCCAAAGAACTATGCATTTGAACTGCACGATCTATTCTTTTCTCTAATAATGGCTGCTTCTCCGCAACTTTCAAAAGCTTCTGCTGTGCATCAGCCAAACGATCATGTTGGTCATCAATGATTTTCTTCAACTGAGGAGCATGATGCTTGAGTTCCAAGTACACCTAATCGGTGAGGGAGAATAGCAAGGACAACAGTTAAAAACTAAGCAAAGCCTGGTTCAAATTATGGTCGCCTTATCATAGAATACATCCCCAAACAGCAGTTGTGATGATGAACTATCCCAAAATTGATATAATTTGCTGATGATACACCAACTCTGACACATGATCCTTAAAGTGATGTGCTTAAACAAAGATTGATGCATATCATCAATAAATTTCTTCTCCATATAAGGCATTCTATGGTCAGTTCCGTACACTAAGTTAACTCACTGCATGGGTATTATTGAACTCGAACTAGAGCTTAATAATTCAGTTGGAGCCAATACTCATATATATCCAGCATCTATTTGACTCATTTAGAAGAGAAAATAACAAAAAAATGGAAAAAGAAATAACAGCATAGTCATGTTAAAAGCCCACAACGAATAAAGTAACTTAGACTGCACCTTTCTTGAAGGATGAAAAATTCAGTTGGAGCCAATACTCATATATATCCAGCATCTATTTGACTCATTTAGAAGAGAAAATAACAAAAAAATGGAAAAAGAAATAACAGCATAGTCATGTTAAAAGCCCACAACGAATAAAGTAACTTAGACTGCACCTTTCTTGAAGGATGAAAAATTCAGTCATAATGAGGATATGGTGGTAATCAATACATTTTGATATTCTTACCTTATGCGCATACTCCACATAAGTTTCATGAAAAAGCTTGAAATACTGATGCAATGCTGATCTGCCTTCAATTGAATCAGGTGAAATGGAACGCAAGGTTGGAGACGCTTGAGGAACAAGTACCGTCCTAGGCCCACTAAGTAATTCTTTGCTAATGATAGTTGGGATGTCTCTCTCTTCTGATTCATCTTCCAATTGAATGGGTTTTTCCTCCATACCAACATTTGGTGGCAGCAACAGGTTCCACGTTTTTGTCTCTAGCACAATGCACTCTTGAGAAAGAGTGACTGCCACAATCCATGAATATCCAAAAGAATCTGACAAAGATGCAAAACCACAAAGAGGAGATGCTGTGGTGCTCCCACTCTGACATGTATTTAGAACAGGATGCACAGAAGGAGTTCTCATGGTGTCATCCTTGCCATTCGCCTGACTTGTGAATGGAAGGAAATGCAACACTATTGAATCAATACCTCCATCATGAAGGGAATATATTCTTTCTGGCATAAGAGGATCCACAAACAATGCAATATTGTAACCACTTTCCGCCCTCCGAGGCAGAGCCAAGTCAACAATAGCCAGTCTCAGAAGTGGTGGTGGATTGCCCAACCATACAGCATGATCAATCTTCTCAGGCAGGCCACCAGTTATTGACTCACAAATCATGGCAAGGCCAAGAATATGGTCATGGGAATCAACTCGAAGACGTGGAGAACTATCAGCACTCCACACAGGCTGGATCTCATCAGCCAGAGCATCTATCTGTAATTGCCCGCCACTCCAAGAAGTTACCAATATTGTGTCTTTGCTGACAAGATCATAAAGAAGACTAACCGCACGGCCTTCACATTCTGCACTGCGACCAACTGAATCTTCATCCCCACCCTGACCTACTCTTCGAAGAGGTCCCTAGAAAATCAAAGAAGTATGGTCTAATCATACATTTCAACAAATGGCCAAATGACAAAGGCAATTTAGGCAACTTATAGGAGTGCGACTAAAAATATATGCATACCTGCAGGGTAAGAGATGCATCAAATTGAGCATAAGCATGAGCTCTTTGCATAGACATGTTCTCTTCTGTCTCTTGATTTTGTAACTCAGGGAATGTCGCTTCCAACCATGAGATTGCCAATTTTGAATTACTAATGGCTCTAGAGTTTGCAGATTTGAGCCCAAACGTATGAGCATCATTGTATATTTCTAGCACAGATTCTGATTTGAAGAGACTGCAGATAAGTAAAAGGAAAACATCAATCACACAAAACTAGGAGCATTAATGAATAGCATACAATCAATTTAAACAAAATAATGGCATCAAATCATCAATTTATACTATATTATTTAGCATCTACAAATGGCTAAGGCAACAGTGCTGCATCTCAAATGATAAGAGGACATATTGGCAATACTAGCGGACGATGAAATTAAAATTCAAAAGTTTCAACCTGTACAACAGAAAAAGCCCTGCCTAGGAAAACAACAGTTAAATCAATGATTCTAACAATAATAACTAACCAGCTTTCACATTCTCAGTTCTAAAAGTGGAAACTAAAGCCCAATGCTTAAAGGTTGGAACAAATTAAATTGTGGTCCAAGTCCTCACCATAATAAGCGTGATTGATTACCTCATTCAAGATGTGCTGTCAAATCCACAAGTGATTTCTATAGTTTGACGCAATTCTCAATGAACTCAATTGTTCACAAATCAGCTAATATCTTAATATGCTACGAGTGTTGTTACCGTATTTTCTTTGCTCTAGAGAATAAAAACCAGAAATGTTCTATTTCCAATCCTCTTCCATCATACAGGAAAACTTCGAATAGAAAGGCTCTCTAAAAGTTTTGTTCCCATGATATTAGACTCTTCAAATGCTCGTCTTTATTGCATTATTTGCTTGGCAAAAAGGAGATCATCGCACAGGAATGATAAACTTTTTCAGATGGTCTGGGAAGGGGTATCTCTGCCGTTCAACAAATTGACAGTGGTAACATTTTGTTGGCATATAGTCTATGTGGTGGCTAGTCTACCTCAACTCAACACTCACTCATGTATCAAGCGATACATACACAGTGACATGTGTAATAGATTCAGATCAATGACATGATATGTTTATTCATATATCATAATGACACATTTGAGGGAAAGAAGATAGAAACTTATAGAACATGAAGCATATGATACCTTCCAAATGGAACAACTGGGCAAAGGATGTAGATAGCTCCATCACCAAACAAAATAAATACCTGCTCAATAGCACAAAAAAGTTTAAAACAATAGTAAAGCTGTTAAGCCACTAATGTACAAAATAGAGAATAAGTTTTTATTGGTTAAGCAATGAACTGCAGACATTGAAGCTCCTTCTAAAAGAGTAACATTTCTAGAAATGTAGATTACAGATCAAGACACAGCATAGTAAAATTTTAATAACATCAGAGTCACTAATGGCAGGACATATTTAGAGAGGGAAACCAATTATGATAAAATGCGTGGTAAAAAGCGATAAGCAACACCATTATAGTATGCTAAAATAAAATTTTAAAATAATTTAAAAAAACTCGTGGTACCAAATGTTCAAACAGATGAGATGACAAACTCTGCAAAGATAGAAATGAAAAGTATACAGTACAGTTTTCTAGAGTGAAGTGTCAGTGTTATCCTAATCCATAGCACCATTAACTAGAGTGATGAATATAGCATACTCAACACTTCTTTATGCCAAAATGGCTTTGGCTTTTTTTTTCTTTTTTTCTTTTTTTCTCTTTTATTTTTTATTTTTTAAATGAGGCATCTTAGTCACCAAGCCTTCTGCTCCATTGAAACTGGAACCACAGCCATATTGACCTGCTTCCTTCCTATGCAAATCCTCCCCCGACTCATACTCATCTTTCATTTTATCTGCAAATCTGAAATTTGATGAACAAAGAAGGGATCGTTGCCTTTTCTGCTTCAACCTTGCATATTTTTGTGAAATGGAAGAGAAGAACCCAAAAGTCTCAAATCTGGGGACTTCAAAGCAGAAAAATAAGCCTTTCTGGCCTGAAAAGGAACTGAACAGCAACCTATGATCCTATTTAACCGTGTAAGAGCCACATAGGTGGATTCCATCAATTCTGGAAATATAGTTGCGGCTAATGATGACACAGAATTTTTCCATTGAGAAAATGTAAGATAGAATTGGACTGAATTAAATAAATTTTACTTGACTCAAATGAAAATATGCACCAAAAGTAAAGATTAACAAAATCCAGGCCAATGAGTCCCATCAATTTTAAAGCTGAAAGGTGGATTACGAGTAAAAAATATGTTTAAGTGATCAGAATATCAGCAGAACTTACACTAAACTTGTCCCACAAGTGGTCACCGCCAAAAGAAAAATCCACTGGAAGCATTGATGAAGCACTTCTGGATCTGCCTGGATCCACAGGCTGCAGATAATATTCTTGCTCAGGTTGCAAAGGATCCAAAGCCAAATTAAAAAGCCTACAAGAATGGGTTGACAAATAAAATGCCCAAAAGACAATATAAGTACCAATTAAAATAAAGATGTGCAGCTTCAACCTTACTCAACCAAGAAATGAAGATATATTATGAAAAAAGAAAGGAAAAGACACGAGGGTTTCAACACAACTTTTTTATTCAGAGAAGTTTGACTAGTAAATATGAAAATAAATTGTCAGTAAAAACATTGCAAAGACAACTGAACATTAAACAGCCAAAATGACATTTTGTTAAGAAATACAAAGGACGGGAGGATGCTGAATTATACTTAATGCCATGGCTCATGTCAAGGGCAAGATTTGAATAACAGAGTGAAGAGACAGAGAATCCTCCCAGAAAGCAAGCTATTGAGGTGCAAAAACTAGCCCACTTAAATACCCATTGAGTATTCCATGCTAAGCATCCCATACTGACTAAGTCCCCGTCAAATGGCTCCTTGAAGAGCCCACATCATGATAATTGCAACTTGTGACACTGCACTCAGCTTTCTCACCAATCAGAAACCTTTGTAGGTAGGCCTTTTCAGAGAAATTTAGTAACAGCAATTGATAGGCACTCAGATGGGATGGGGAACCCTCCACCAAAAGTAAGCAAGGGGGAAAAAAACAACTTATACCCCCATTGAGTATCTCATGGTATTCAATGTGTGACTTAGGCATCTCATGCTGCCCAAGCCGCCCCATTAGAGTTACATTTTTAACATCTTCAAACTTCAACCGGACTTTGTTCATCTAAGAACAAACTTAGGAGCCTATTAAATATGTTAATTAAATGGTACGAGGCATCGAATTGCTAGACCATTGGCACTTTGTTCAACATATTATCGATATTATTTCATTGCTCCAAAGTAAGAAATAATCACTAAGGGATTCGTTTGAATAATTTTCAAGTACAACTTGTCCCTCAACCTGAGTAAAAAATATATTCCAAGACGTTTTATGTTACAGCTCATTATGAATTCCTTCATGTCTTTAGGTTCTATGTTAATGTCTTCTTGGGTCTACATAAGCCAGGATGAACACTGGCTCTGCACTCAACATTCAAGCCATTAGAATCTTCAAAAAAGCGTCTACAATAATATCGATCCCAAAAAAAAAAAAAAAGAAGAAGAAGCATAAAACAGCAAAAAACAATAAAACATACCTGAAAACAGAGTCAGAAGAAAGGATTCCCACATGACAATCACTATATGGATGCCATAAAGCTTTTAGCACACGTATGTCATTGCTACTCTTGGAATATGTTTGTGAACCAATCATAATAGTCCTGTGATAGGATGCCCCAAAAGCAGTTTAATAATAATGGTAATGTATATATGTGAGATACAACTCTCTAAGATGGCAAGATAAAGCTCCACACTTTGACATCAGGGAACTACGCCCAAGGTAAACATCTAATTTCTAATTATGTGGTGTATCTTAAAGTTCAATTCTAAAATTAAACGTCAGAAATAGATAGCGGAAATATCTAATTCATCTAACAAGCGAATAGCACAAAAGAGACACAAGATAACCAGAATGGATGCAGATAAATACAATAGTATAAAGTTCTATTCATGGGAAGAATGAAACATTGAAATTAGCTACACGTGTCTGTGTCCCTATTGCTAGTTGCACAAGGTTCAAACAGAAAACTCATTTTTATTTCTATCTGTACCTGCAAATCAGATTAACATCCTTTTTGGATGTACGTCCATACAGATACATAACACACAGTCTTTCAGAGCCAAAAAGAAGTAACGCTGATCCATTCCTGTTGATAGAGATTTTGTGGATAGCAAAGTTGATCTCCACATCTGCTCGCAATACCTATCAAAGTATTGGCATTATTAATTAAGCAGTTCAAATCAAATGTATAGAAAAATAAACGAGTTATTGTAGCTTTTGTTATAAAGCTTTAGCATTTAAAACTCGTGTTATTAATTTGACTCAGAGTATAAACTTTTTCGACCATCATCTCATAGCCTCCAAGTCAGAAATAAAACAAACAGGAACAAAGGCCTACCCAAGTCTGCAGAACGGTATCACATAATTCACAAAGTTCCAGACTCTGTACTATTAAACACTATACGAATTAAAATTATAAGTCGCTAATATACCATGACCCATCGAATTTCACCAAATCGCACGCCAGAATTTTCCATCCAATGGTGAATGGCCAATTTAATCCTGCTTCAGCTATTTAGTCTTTTACGTGTTATATAATGCAAACACAAATAGTTAGAGGGTTAGTGTCGTCGTATCTACTCCATAATGGTTTTTCATCGTACACTGTTAGCCCATACTTCCAGTACCACATGATAAGGACTCTTGAGCATACTCAGTCTATGTTGAACTTATCACTAAAAAATTTCTCGTTACCAAAAGTTAAGATTTTTGCAGGATAATTTGTTCAAGTTCAATTTTGAACAGCATTTCTTAAAAATAAAATGAAATTGTTAGAAGACATGTAAACACCATTATCATGCTCTAGTGTTAAAGACTAGCCATTCCGCATCGAAGCTCAGGCATGTGCTTAAACCTTGAAATGGGATCAAGAATTTAAAGTTTTCATCTTAAATTCTCCATTCTTATCGGTCTTCGAACTCTATTTCCACTAATCCAACTGCCACAACTCCCTCATTCTACTCCTAGCTTGAAGTCATAGGTTTTAAGCTCAAACACTTTCTTAGGAACAGGACGGTACACAAAAGCGAAACCTAATGTAGCAACTGCGTCGAGAGTGAGGAGGACCTTAGAAGGGGAAGCAGCAAGTATAGAAGTAGGCTCAGGCTCGCCCAGTCGAAGAGACAGACGATGAAGGCAGTTGGTCTTAGGCTCCCAGAAATAGAGGCGAGAGGATCCATCCCAGGCCACGAGATTTCGGGAAAATGCAGTGCCGGAATCGCCGTCTATGGAGTTATTCGTAGCGACGAAGACCGGGTGTTTCTCAAGTGGAACCCATTCAACTTCTTTTGGCGTTGCTGAGCGCGTCGGCTCCGAGTTCGTCTCCTCCGTGTCCAATGCAATCCTCATCACTCCCTGCGCGACACCCCACCCAAGTGTTTCTCATTGAACTGCGAACCCTGGCTGGTTCTCGACTTGCTGCTTCTGCAAACGCTCGCTGGTTCGATTCGATGTGGGTCAAACGACGCCGTTAGCAACTTTTTTTTTGTGTGTCTTTTTTCCCCCCAAAAAAAGGAATTTTTTGGTCAAACGACGCCGTTAGCAACTTTTATTTTTGGTTCTCTAGGCTTTGGATCAGAGTTCTTCCAGTTGAGAAGCCCATAGAAGATTTTCGCGCTTTGTTGTTCATCCAGCTCCTGAACTGCCTGAAAAAACAAAGTACAAAAATGCTAAAAAAAAAAAAAGGAGGGGAAGAAAAATAAGAAGGATGATCATATAAACCAAAATATCCTTAACTAGGAGATGGGTAACTGATTCGTAAAAATTAAAAAATTAACCAGATTAGTAATTTGGGAAAAAAATATGGTATTTAGTATCAACACAAACTTTTACACTAACTCTTACATTTAGGATTGAAGAAAGTACCACCAAAATTAAAATGGCACACCTCAGATATCTTATGAGATAATGCAAAAATTTGCATTCTTTCATGGAGCAATATCCTCGTTGGATTACGATTATGATATCAGCATGCTCTTTGCCTGCTGCTTTTTTGATCAAGGAAGGGAATAAACTTAATTAAACGTGAAGGGTGAAGCTGGTCCAGTCGTGTTCTGTTTGGTTTCTGTTTTTCTTTAGGTTGCAAGTTCGTCATTGCTTTTTGTTTCCATTGCTATGTTCTAATTTCTAGGTTATTCTGTTGCTTTATTCTGGTTTTACTTTTAATCTTCTCGTGGGTAGGTCATTGGCCAGATTAATTTTACTAGTATATCTCAAGATTGTAACCAGCTAGGTGGAATTAGATATTTGTTAAAGTTTAAAACTTTTTTCTCAGGGGAAACAAGTTTCACTGGATCATTATACTACCAACAGAGTGGGATCCTGTAGAGGATCCACTGAAGTGGGTGACGTGTAAACTTATTATCCACTTCACTTTTTGCAGATTTATTTTAAAAATAAAATAATATTTAACCAACACTGCCACTTCACCCACTTGATCATTGTTCTGCTTGAGGGAATCCACCATGATCCCAAATTACAACTTGATAAGCTGACTCTTTGAGCAGGGGTGCCATTTCTCTCTGATATACAATATATGAAAATTTAAAAAAAAAACAAAACAAAAAAAGAACTGTGGAGTTCTATAGTATTTACATTTCACTCAATCACCAACGTGCAACTTAACTTCAGCGACTCTGGACAATTCTTCTGTGACTCTTTACTCTGTAATTTTAGTGTTAGCTTTTGTTCTTCAGTGCCAAGGTGATGACTCAGAGATCCTTCGGACAAATCTGTGCCAATAATGAGAAAGAAACAGCCATCAGACCTGGGCTCCCAACCAAATACAGCTCAACTTCTTTTTTTCTTGCCATAGTTGAATTAGCTTACCTGATCATCCCCTGAAGCACTGAAGAAGACAACGTGACAAGTTGAAGCTATAAGTTCAAAATCTCTCTCTCTCTCTCTCTATATATAACTGATATTTACACTCTAATATATTTCATGAGGTTGGGTGGGTTCAGTTGATTCGTTCTTCTTTAAGAATCTTGGGGTATCTCTTGCAAGCTGAAATCTGCACGTATAATGTCAATAGCACAAGCAATGATTAGCTTCGTAATAGTATTAACTTAATTTTTTCCAGATAAACAGGCAGATAAGGCATTTGCAAAGGATACGAGAATTGTAGAGGCATGTGGCACATGATCTAATTAATGGTGCATATAATACATAAGGTCGGTTTTGGGACCATTTCCTGACATCTAAAGTAACACAATCACGAATCACATGCGAGAGAGACCAAGTCTTCAAATCAGCTCATGTTTATGAGCCTTCAAAGTTGACTTATAAATTAGGGAAAATTAATCTCCATATCTTCATAGTTTTGCTTGATTTTTAATCATGTCCCTGTAATCAAGTGATTAAAAAATATGACAACTTAATTAATCTTGACGCAAACTTGAAAATTAATTTTTGTCAATAAATTATGACAAGAATTGCGGATTTTGACCGTTTGAGAATACTAATAAATTCAATGATAATGAATCTCATAGTCCTTTAAATACAAGTACATGACAACATAGAAAGTTACGTTTTCGGAAAAAAAAATATTTATATAAAGATTCTAGAAATAATCTTCCTTTAGCCAAAAAGTCAAGCATCCCCATAAATATTCCCACCGTTCAATTTCCCACCAACTCAATTTGGCTGTCTTGAAAAGTCAGAATATTTATAAACACAGCCGCAGCTAAATATAAATGACCGATTCAATAATAGCACAAGAAGATCCAAACACACAAGCTCTATAATAAAATGAGTTTGGTGGTGTACTCCTCAAGCATAAGCCATTTGGTCATCAAATTATTGACCTTCCAGAAGAGTCATATTTACTCCCCTGCCCTTTGATGCGCATTATTAATTACTCCTCCGATTCTAAATATAAGACCCAATTGTTAAGTTGGTTTTGATCTTAAATATAAAACCTATTTATTATATTTATCAATTTTCTCTAAATTACCCATATGGATACTTACTCAACCATAATCAAGTAGAAGAGTGAGAGAGAGTATTAAGAAAGATAATTATAGTGTTTTAGGAAAAATGTGTCACATTTCTTATAATTAACTAACTTAACTAACTTCTCTAATCTAATCAAATTAGTTAAATGGATCTTATATTAAGGACCGGAAGAATATATGGTATAAAATGAATTATATTAAAAATAATAAAATTTTTAGAATAAAAACTAACACTCCTAGGCATTATTAGACAGTAATTAAACAATAGTAATATGGTAATAAATTGTAGTTATCTCATTTTTATACTCCAAAACTAAAATTTATAACACTCATATTTACGCATAGATATAATAAACTCAAAATGAATATTTTCAGCTTGGCAAAAAAAAATATTTTCAGCTTTTATATGCAACCTGCTAATAGTAGTTGATATTAAAATTGGTTTTGACGTGATCTAAAATGTCATTAAATTCATGGCATTAAAAATCAAAATATGATTCGACCCTATTAATGCCATTGAGGTGCCTCCGTGCCTAATGAAAGGTCCTCGTGGGCCCCACCAAAATTGGCATCAATTCCTACTACTACCATTTTTCCTGACATCCACGCGGAAAAAACATTCAGAACTAATTCGAATTCTCACTAAAGAACCTCTCAACTTATGAAAATTATGCTATTCCCCCAAAAATACCAACTTCTAGCGGAATTAGGCTACAAAGATACTTACAGCTTCAACGTCAATTTTGTACACCAGAAGCTTTCGTCTTTCTCGGCAACTTGTTCTGTAAGCTACGGCGATATGCCCAATAGCCAAAGCACACGAACACACGAACAGAGCTATTTCGAAGGCTCTCACATGGCTTCCTCCTCGATACGAATCTGGGAGGCTGAAAACATAAACAGCTTTCATAGACACAAAAATCAAAGACGAAATAGAGCACATCGTCGTTATCCCCAAATAGGGCCCCCGCGAAAGCCTTGGCCCATCGCAGAAACTATAAACACCTGCGCAAAAGCCATTAATTAACAGTCAAAAACAGAGGAATCAAACAGAGTATAAAAAAAGTTTCGAGTTTATGCGAAAATACTCACAGAAGATGACAACGGATCTTATGATGGACACGAGGGGAATATCGATGAGGGAGTATCGGAAATCGTAGTTTCTGAGGTGGGAAGATAGAGTTTCCAGAGAGAGAGAAGAAGGCGAGAGTGCAGAGAGTAGAGCCGAAGGAAGAAGCGCATCGGCGAGAACAAGAAAAAGCGGAGCCGAGAAGAGCAAAAGCGATATGATCATGGTGATCAGGAAGAACAGAGTCTTGAAACCCCTTAATATCTTCGTGAATCTCTCTTCCTTGGAAGAACCCATCTGTGATTGATCCAGATGCTTTCAATTTCCCTTCAGTTTCTGAGAGATGTGGGTACGAGCAGAGGAGGAGGAAGCGAGAAGAAGAACACAAAAGGTAGACGGAGCAGGGAAAAGGATTAATAAGAAGAAGAGAAGCGGGAGGAAGGTGCAGAGATTTTGACCGGACTCGACGACTATGTGAATGATGATGAAATACTTGGAACTTTACACGCGGACTCCCACGGGGTCGTTTAGTGGCTCTCGTCTTAACTCTGGCATACGGTACAGTATGCCTAACGTCCAACGGCAATACCTGAAAAGTAAACGGCCGTTGGCTATAATTTTGATTTGATTTGAAGGTTACTTTCCTCATGGAGGCCAAGGTGAAAATCTCATAAACTCATCCTCGCTTGTAAATTGGGCCCCCCTAAATATTTATATCATCATTATAAAATTTTAAAAATAATATCTTATATATGGATTTTTTTTTATAATATGATAAAATGTAGCACCTATTGAAATAAAGTAATGCTACCTTACTTACATAGAGGCAACATAAATAATCACGGACGAAAGATAAAGTTACTGAATTACTTTAAAATATATATATATATTTTCAAAATGAGTTTCTCTTACTTATAAATTAATTAATTTTAGAGAGGTCATATAATGTATGTTATAATTAAATAATTCAGTAATTTTCTTAATATTCTAAATTGATTAACTAAATTTTGTATTAAGTACAAGAGATGATAATTAAGATGGAAATAAAATTAAGGAGTTGAGTTATGTCAAATTTCAACCACGCATGATTATATGTCTTAAACTAAGAATGTGTGGTCATGTGATTTTCTTTTTTTGCCAACATAATCATGTAAAATTAAAAAAATTTGACATGACAGATATAAAGAATTTGATTTCATAATATATAGTATATTAATCAAATATATAAAAATGTGTTAAATAAAAATACGTGGGCTTAACGATGGTGACTTGGTTGTGGATACCTATACGCTATTCTTGGTTCTAGAAGCACATTTTAACCATGCAGAAGTCTAATAGAGGAATTATCAATAGGTGGGCACGGTTTTGGCGTGGAGTAGCGTCTTTATTGGCTATTAAGGGCTCTCTTATTTAAGAATGTTCTGACTTTCTTCAAGTTTGCTGGTCGCATTTGGCTAACAGGCTACGAAAATAAATAATAGGAGTAATAGACAACTAAAGCCATGCATCTAGCCTTATAAAGATGTGATGGCAAATGATAGAATTGTATGAACGCACATATATATAACATTTCAATTCAATACCTTTACCGGCTGCTTGGCTGAAAATAATTGAGTAGGCTGAAAAAGAGACACTCTTACAAGACAAAGTTTTGTCTTATATTTTCACTCTGTAAAATGCAAAATTATTTGAAACATATTAGTATAACGCCCATTTAAAGTTTTTAAGAAGCTCGATTCCCAGCATTTCCATTTAAACTTTTTTTTTTGACGTCAACTTAAAATGAAGCCTCAACAGCATCATTGAGTTTTCCCCTGCAAGTTGATAGATTGGTACTCATTTGATGTTTAATACAAGATCTATTTAACTAATTTGATTAGATTAAGAAAGTTACATCAGTTGGTTAATTATAAGAAATATAACATGTTTTTCTTAAAAGACCATAATCATCTCATTAATATCCTCTCTTATTTTTCTACTTGATTATGGCTGAGAGAGTATCCATAGAGATCATTTAGAAAAAATTGATAAATATGAGAAATAGATCTTATATTTAGAATCAAAATCAACTCAATAATTAAGTCTTATGTTAAGGATCAAAGAAATATTATTTTGTGGATCGCCTTATTTAATTAGATCAACAAGAAATGACGTTAGCAAGAAATATCAAATGTATAGAAGCCATCATGTCTGATTTGTTTGTTTTTTTTTTATGTAATATTTTTCATGAGATCTTTCTTGCCACATTTTATTGGATTTAGGTGATGAAGATATTTAGAGGAATGAATAAAATAATTGGAAGCAAAAATACAAGTGAGAGATCCAAAGAAGCAAAGACATGGAGAAAAGAGGGAAAAGGAAAAGAAACAGGGGCAAATTGGGCAGGACAAAAATTATGGCCAGGACGATTCCTTGGGCCACAAATGTCAAAGATCCTGTGAATGTGGCTGCTTCCCTCCCATAGCAGCCATGGTCCACGCCTACAAGCAATGCCCACCCCATTCTTCTTTTAACGTAAGCACTGTCTTCATCATACGTCATTTTATCCTCAGTCCAAAGAAAATAAAAGTCGACTCTAATAAATTAAAATTAAAATTAACAAATTTGTTTTATGATTTTCGTCCAATTTTCTATTCTCTTGACACTTGCAATCATCTGCTGACACGTGAGTGACACAATTTTCTTTTTTTCTTTTTATTGATGCAGGAAGCAAATATATCAACACGGAATCTCATTTGAGCTGTATAATTGATTATCAGTTGTCCCAATAGTAACACGATGAGGTCCTAACTTCTAACCTGTCACACAGACATATTACTTCCGATTTTAATTATAAAATCTAATTTCTAATATATAAATGAGGTTTTATAATTTAAAAGATGAGGTAGTATTTGTCTGTATGTACATGTTTAAATTGTATTAAATAAAAAAAGTTATAAAATTGTCAAGACTCATTCTTTAAATTGCCAATATGAAAACTTCATATGTTTAATATTGTGTTGCCGAGCTCGCAAATTTTTTTTTTTTTGGTGTTGCCAAGCTGTGGAAGCCAAAATATTTTTGGCTAAAACATATTTAACCATTTTGTGTTGTGACTACATGAGGGATTAAAAGACATTCTTGTCTTAAATTATTCTTTCAGTAAACATTCTAAACCGTTAAATGATATATTGTTGTTCATAAAATATTAAAAATTGTGTAATATTATTTTTCCGTTAAACATGTAATCTTTTTAACTTTTCATTGTGTCTAAAAATTGATGAGCATTATTTATTTGAGCAGGACCTCATTTATTTAATTTGTGATCTTATTTATTTAATTTGTTGTCCCTTGAATCTTTATGCAATTACATAAACTAATTCAGATTACCTATTCTCCACTTCTTCAGTTAGTTTCTTACTGGTTCCTATATTTTGATTATTCATTAATAAATATACACCATGAAGTTTTAGAGAATCATACGCAGGTATCAAAAAACTAATTTAATGACAACTATGTTCCCAAAATACTCATACATAATTAATACTCCCTTGTTTGCATCTTTATATATGCTATAATTTACAGCTGTTGGCAAAAAAAAAAATTAATGCAGCTATTTCTCCGTATTTTATAACTGGAAATTGTCTTGGAATGTAGATTAAATTGACCAATTATTTCTATGTTAAGGTATTGCTTGTCTGGGAGTAAATACGAAAGGAAAGGTGAATTTCTTTCTAGAAAACCTGTAAAATATAACAACCTGATTTTTAACTTATCGAAAAGTCAAGTTTTGCATTTTTTTACGAGCAAGGAAGTGAGCCGAACTTATATAAGTTTACTCACCTAATGCCACTTTGTAGTTCAATTAAATCACAAATCACAAATTATATATCACATTAGGGATTAAACAGATGAGTAATTTCTTAGGCATGATACTACTCTGTTTATTAATAATAGGACATGTTTAACTAATTTAATTAAATTAAAGAAGTTAAGCTTCACACTTTCTTCATAATTATAAAAGTAACCTTTTGATTAAATTCTATATAAATTATATATTCCACATATTTATGTTTTTTAAATAAAAAAATAATGTATTTCTCTTAAAAAACAAAATCAACCTAGCAGATTATATATTAAGGGGAGTTAGCTTCCCAGAAAATTGCGGATTCAACCGAGCGGGGGTTCTAGATGTTCCCAATGTATGTGGTCAAAATTTTGAATAGTGAATGAGATACTTTATCTATAATACATTCATTACGTCTTATATAATACATATAAAATTTATATACTTTTTTTGTTTATTTTATTTCAATGCACATAAAATAAAAAATTGCAAAATCAGAATTGTCACGTGAAAATACAATACATGGGAGTGACGATACAATGTTAATTAAAATAAGAAAAAAACTTAAGTCAAATTATTTATATTTATTATGACAAATTTTTCAATCACACAACCATATTTTTTTTATTTAATGTGATTTTATAATTAAATGATAATATTTTAAAAATAAGATATATAATCGTATGTGATCAAAAAACTTGATATTAGTGTTGTTCTTAAAATAATATATATATTAATTTTGAGAATAATGATTTCCAGTGAAGACTATAAAATAATTATAAATGACAACATCCAAATTTATGCATACGAAAAAAATAGCATAATAAGAATTATGGAAGATATAATAAAAATATATCAGAAATACAAAATAGAATGAAATTAAGAGACGGAACACTTTTCATAATTTATCAAAAGCAAGATATAATAAATATTGCTTATAAATGATCTATTCTTCTTTTTTTGGATATCATTTCTTTTCTCCTACCAAACACAACACACATGTCATAGATTGGCATCTTATGTGGTCATTGTGAATACACAAGTCGAATTCAAATTTCTTCTTATAAAGTCCAAACATAAAACCCAAGTCTTGCCTCTTCTAGAATTTTTTTGAGAAAAAATATCAAAAAGTAAAATAAAAATTAAAAAAAATCATTTATGGGTAATTATTAGTGGTTATCCCATATCACGTAACCCCGTCATCACAATCAAATTATTATGAACAAGATATATGAACTGAAAAAACAAGAAGACAAGGCAGGCTTTTGCATTCTGAAAGATGAACCTCGCCTACGTGGCACCTTATTTCTTGTTAGCCAAGGATCCCTTGGCGCGTTGCATTACTCAGCCACGCACCCTACGCGGAGAACTTTGTCCAGTCACATTTAATTTAATTTTGATATATATATTATTTATTATCCAAAAAATTTGTCGCCCCTTCTAATATATAAAGGCAGTATAGGGTGGGACGGTGACACAAGGCACAATCATCTTTTGGATTAAAATGCTTGTTTTTAAAGATTTTGATAAGAAAGATCCTTCACTGGATAACATCAAAAGGGTTTTATTTAAACTATTCCTGCGGATCATTACGGGACATAATGGCCCACCAATTGAGTCATTCGTGAATAATGAAAGTAAGCATATGAATCTAATAAGAAAGTTAATTTAATTAATTTGCCTTTCACACCTCTGTTACGCCCTCTGTATATGGAAGATCTTCCTTTGTTTCCGCAGCGCAAGTGTGCTTATATTTGTTGATGATTTAAAAAACAATTTATTTGTGGTTTAGGTCGTGAACTTTAAAATTTATTGAATCGTGTCTTACACTTAATAACAATTTATTTTAAGTGGTTTTAGGTGGTGAAGAACAGTTTATTTAAGTAGTTTTGGTGAGAAAATGCATATCTTGAACCGGCTAGTCAGGTGGCAGGTGCATTTATTGAGAAGAGTTTCGTATATACATTTCTTTTTTTCCCGTATAGCATTTGGTATCTTAGGACAGGGTATCTTTCAGGCACCACAACAGTTCTAGATTAATTTGGATTGTCGTTTGAAGGCCCCTCAATGGGGGATCGACTGAACACTAATTTTGGTTCCACCCAAATAAATTCAATGTTGAAATATATAAGATTAATACAGTTTTTAATCCTTTCGTCTTATATGAATTTTATTTTTAGTCCTTCAAATTTTATTTTCGGTAAAAAAATAAATAAAATTTTAAATTATAAATTTTGATCTTTTTAATAATAAAATGGTCCAACTATTTATTAAATTATAGAAATTAACGTTTTAGACAGAAAGAAACTTAGTAACTAAAATTTGTATCAACTATCCACCCAATTATATAGTTATATAATTATTGATACACACACGTAACATTTCATAATACTACTTTTAATTCTAATTATGATATTTTATTTATAATTTATAAATAAAATCTTATAATTAGAATTAAAAGAAGTAGATAATAACAAGCTAAGTTTTATATTTAACAACAAAGCTAATTGTAATTTTCAGTTTTTCACAAGGAGCATGCTTGGTGAACCATTGAAATTTCGTACACGACTGACAACTGACAAGTTCCGTGTGTCTACCCGTATACGCATGTCATTTTCCATGGCATTCTTCCAGAACTCAATTCATGGATTCGAAGAAGGTTAAGAAAAATGACCAGTCAAGACTAAAAAGTAACAGCTGAGAGAAGCTGGCAAAATTTCCTCGTTTGATTATTTTTGTTAATTGAGATCTCCAATCATTAACATTCGAATCCCCCCCGGGCTTTTTTTCGATGTGTTCTAATTAACATATAGGCTCATGCATTGTTGAGGGCCTGAAAAATGAATTGTGTCATCTATAACTTTATAGTTTGTTAAAAGTTATATATATATATATATATATAATACTACTCCCGGTCTTTAATATAAGATTTTGTTTGATTTTTATTTTAGTTCTAGATATAAGATCTCAATCCATTTTGTTTCTCATATTTATTTATTTTTTCTCAAGATAGTCATTCTAATCAAGATAGTTCTAACAAGTAAATATGATTAGTAAGGATATTTTAGAAAAAACAATACATATTTGTTATAAATAATTAACTTAATTTATTTTCTTAATCTACTCAAATTAGTTAATTAGCTCTTATATTTAAAACCGGAAGTAGTATATAAATATACGGATATTTTTATAAGCAAATACACTAACAAAAAAATCAAGGCATAAGAATATTCGTCACTTTGACATATCCGAGAAATGAAGATCATATCTCCTCAGAAAAGGTGCTGCGAGGAGAACAAGAAATCCAGCCATGCAACAAGATGCCTTTTACAGATTTTTTTCCCCAAAAAAAAAAAAGATCCTTTAAAAGTTTTTATGCTGAGAGGTTTATTTATTCGTTTTCAAAATTAATTTTGATCAAATTTATAAAATATAAATTGAATGTTCATTGTTATTTTTCACGTCGCATTAAAGAGTTATTATAAGCTATAAAATTACACTCAACGATATATGATCAGTGCAATTTACATGGATTCAAGGAATGAATCATCACTTTTACAAATTATAAATTTTATTAATATTTTAATATTAATAAATTCACAATGTTCAATTCTTTTATTTATTTATTTTCAGTTTCATTCTTTTTTTGGGTAATATATTTTCAGTTTCGTTGCTACCGAAATTATTCTCCTTGGTTCCCATATAAAATCATATATTGGAGGGTTGAGAGACCAAGACCGACGTTGAGCCCATCTTCAGCCCATGATGGGGGACACAACCCAGCCCAAACTGCAGAGCTTTCTTGACTGCTGACTGGCAAACAACTGTGTGAATTTGGCGCAAAAAGATGAAAACAAAGGAGCAAAAGAAAGATACCAGAAAAATCAAAGAATCGCCCAAGAGTAACGGTCTCTCTTGAGCGCTTCGTTCTGGTTTCGCCTCTTTGCGTTGCTCCATCCGAGGCTGAGAGCTTGAACTACTTTCTAAAGGATGGGCCTACTGTCTTTATGGCGCGCTGGGACGAGGCTTGCTCTGGTTACCTCCACCATTGGCGGTGGTGCCGCCGCTGCCGCCATAGCCACCTCCGATGATCCTGAAACTACTCTCAAGCTTTGCACCACCGTGCCCCATCGCCTCATCCGCGACGCCATCACCGCTGCCAATATTGCTTTCGGTACTCTCGATCTCTCTGAACTAGCATAATTGGAGCCTTGCGTTACGGTGTTATCTTAGTTTGTGAATTTTTATTCTTTTTTAGCTCCCGTCCTGCCATCGGTTCATTTGAGCTTAAGTGTTTCCCTTGAGCGAATGAATCATGGGAGTCAGGTGGCGGGATCTTTGAAGGTTGGTCAGGAGTGAAGAGATTTAGCTTTTGAACTGGAGTAGGTTCTAATTCGGAAAATAATTGTATAGAACTTGCCTTCCGTGTAACCAATGCAAAGGCCGAGGTTTTATCTTCAAATAAGATTGTTGTTTGCATTTGGTTTTGGTGATAATATACAGGGTTGACGCATTGATAATTCAATGAGGACGTGATCATTTGCTAATATGCGCCCCATTAATAAGAGAAAATCGCAAAGTTATTAGTAGCTTTCTTTGTGAACAAAGCTGGGCTTAAGCTGGTTTTCTTCTTATATGCATTAGATTATGAATATTCTCTTTGGGGACTGCCGGAAGGAAGTAATGAGCGGTCAACAGTCACGCACGAAGTTCACCTCCGCTCTGCTCGTAAACTTCAAGAGCTGTGTTTTAAGAACGGAGGGATTTATATAAAGCTTGGCCAACATCTTGGGCAGTTGGTGTGTTGATCTACTCTTTAAATCTTATGCATGAAATGCAAGTCTGATTTATGTTCAGTCAAGAATGCTTAATTCAATTTTTAAATCTTATACATATTCTTGATTCTTGACAGGAATATTTAATTCCTCAAGAATATGTCCAGACAATGAGGGAGTCCATGTTGAACAAATGTCCAGTTTCTTCATATGATCAAGTATGCCAGGTCTTTAAGAAAGAACTTGGAGAAACACCTGACACAGTATGTTTAATTTCTTCTTGACTGAAGCTTCATTTTAACTGGAATGATTTGGCATTCCCATGTGCTCCAAATGCTTATTTGTTAAATGTTATGAAATATAGCTTGGCGGCCACTGAATTTAGCCTTCTAATGTGCAGGTATTTTCTGAATTTGATCCAGTTCCAATAGCAAGTGCTTCCCTTGCCCAAGTTCATGTAGCCCGCACCCATGATGGCCAAAAAGTTGCTGTGAAGGTTTTGGATCGTGAACTTTTTCCATTTATTGATGATTAGTATATTTTGAATCAAATTTCTTTCTATGAATTAAGCATTAGTTTTTCTTATGAAAATTTCTTGTACATGTCCTTGGAATTTGTCAATATCCAGGTTCAACATACTCACATGACTGATACTGCGGCTGCAGATCGTGCCACTGTGGAATTTGTTGTGAACACTTTGCATAGGGTTTTCCCCAGTTTTGATTATAGGTATAATTTCAATGCCTTTACCTGTTCGGGATAAGCCACCTTAATGATTGAGAAATTTAGGAGCCATCTAGGTCTGTAACATGCGTATCCTAACTGACAGATGCCTGTAAATTTTAACTATTAAAGGAACTGAGGGATCTAAGTTTTCTGAAAAATAATTAATAAGCCTTATCTATCTCCCACTATGTTGTGTTGCAATTGCATTGATGGTACAGTTCTTTTTACTTCTGTCTTCAGGTGGTTGGTTGATGAGATACAGGAAAGTTTACCTAAGGTGAGCTGCTAACTTCAAAACAAATGCTTGGGCCTATAAAAGTATAAATATCTCTTGCACAATGGTTTATCACTTATTTTGAGTTAATTAATGATGTTGCTATTGTTTTTCCCCCATGCATAGCACAAAGACACGTGATTGAGAGTGTATTTCTGTGTGTAAAGTTGATTTCATAGTGCATATATCATTTAATATGATGATGCAGGACAAACACATACTCTAAGAAGGAAAGGGAAAAGAGGATTTGAGGAGAGAAAAATAAGGCGTTGGTGGACATTAATAATTTTTTGCTTGTTGTGGTAAAATTTAAGTTATACTGGCTTTTTGAAATCCTTTGGACATAGATTCATCATACTGAATGCAACCCCAAAGGTAACACATTCAACATATATCACCTCTAAAGGAAATTTTTAATTTTGTGGGCAGTGAAAACTAGAAATACTTTCATTGGCTAATTGAAGTTTCTAATTTCATAGGAAATTAGGAATCAAAGGAAAATAGACTTGATTGAAAAGATTACAGGATTAAACTCTTGGTTACTGATGAGCTAATGATTTAAACTAAATGACCTAGAGTTCGAATTTTTAAGCCACATGCAACTTATGTTTATTCTACTCTATCCCCAATACTTCTATTGTTCTTATTAGTTCTATATTATTCCTTTCCATAAAATGGATCAACGAAGCTGATGTGAAGTTGTTTTTCTTTTCTTTTTCTTCTTGTCTTTTTTTTTTTTTTTGGGCTAATACATTTTAAATTTGATATTTGATCATTTTATTAGAAGACTTTTTTTTTTTTAAAAAAAAAAAATCTAGACATTCTAACTGAGCTTATTCAAGAAAAAATCCTTAAGTGCATGTTTTTTGTGTGGATGACATGGTTCTTAGGGTTGAATCAAAAGAAGAGATTAACGCTAGATTGGAGTTATGGAGGAGGACCTTGGAGTCGAAGGGTTTTTGCTTGAGTAGGAGTAAAACAGAATATATGCATTGCAATTTTGAGGGGAGGCACGTCAATGGTGATTTGGAGGTGAAGATGGGAGATCAAATCATTCCTTAAGTGTCAAAGTTAAAATATATAGGATTCATTATATATGAGGATAGTGAAATTGATGGAGATGCTTCTCATAGAATACAAGCTAGGTGGTTAAAGTGGAAGAAGTCTATTAGAGTTATTTGCGATAAGAAGGTACCTGAGAAGCTTAAGGGAAAATTCTATCAGATTGCTATAAGACCAACTGTATTGTATAATAGTAAATGTTGGGTGATAAAAGGAAAACAAGAGCATAAAGTTAGGGTAATAGAAATGAAGTATACAAAAAAAGATAAGATTCGAAATAAAAATGTCAGAGTAAGAGTAGGTGTGGCAATTACTGAAGAGAAAATGGTTGAATATCGTCTGGGGTAGTTTGAGCATGTGCAGAGAAGGCCATTAGAAGCTCCATTGAGAAGGGTAGATCAGATAGTTTGGAGTCCTATAAAAAAGGACAGAAGAAGAGCCAGGAAGACGCTTAATGAGGTCATTGAATGAGACCTTCTGGTCAACAACATATTTAAAGACTTGGTTGTTAATAGAGCACAATAGCGTTGTGTGATCCATGTAGTTGACTCCACCTAGTGGGATAAGGATTGTTATTGTTGTTGTATTGGAAAACCTTTTTTTTTTTTTTGGTCCTTTTTGCTAGTGGGATTTTTTTTTCCTTGTAAAAAATTTATACGAGTGTGTTAGAGTCTAGTATAATAACAAGAAAATCTGCATATTGAAAGAATTGACTAGTTAGAGAATTAATGGTTTCATTGAAGTCCAATTTTTGAATCCTGAGTTGAGATAAATATACCCGTTATACTTGTTCTCTTTTCTGCGCTTTTCGTATATAGCAGGTAGTATAAAAAATTGTTGGTTTAGTCAGATTTAAGATTCAAGAATCTTGCATAAACCCGTTAAAAAATTTCCTTGACCTATGGAGGACTTTGGTACTGTTCTTATTCACTGGTAGATCCATGTTCGAGTTCTGTTTTCTACTTTTTTCTTGTTTGCTTCTTTCACGAAATGATTTCTGATCTGTTTAGTTGATATTTTGGCTTCCAGGAATTAGACTTTCTGATTGAGGCAAAGAATAGTGAGAAATGTTTGGAGAACTTCCGGAAGTTTTCTCCTCATATTGCGAACTATATATATGCACCAAAAGTGTATTGGAATCTAAGCACCTCAAAGTTACTAACAATGGAATTCATGGATGGTGCCCAAATAAGTGATGTGAAGACCATCAGAAGGCTTGGGATCCATCCGCATGAAGTTTCAATATTGGTAAGTGCTGATGAGATATGATTCTTGTTGACTCTAGAAGATTTGGATTATTTAGAATTCAATTACTTAAAATCTACTTTATTTCCAGATTCTGTCCAAATTATTAGGAGATTCACTTTTCAGCTGTTGCTCAATAATTCTCTCCCTAGAACTTCTCCATTATATGTTGATTTGAGCACAGTATAGTTGCTATCAATGCTTTGAGGATCATGTTTCTATTCTTCGAGTAAACAGATTCGAGGATCTGGTTCTGCTGTGGGGATTTGTCATAGATCTATGGGCTACTTGTCTCAAGAATGACTGATATTTGGAATCCTACTTACCCATTGTCAGCTATGCTTCAACTTTGGAGTGTATACCACAGTAGTAGACCATGGATGGTTATACAATGAAATGATGGATAGGTGATAGTCTTTGGGCGGTTTATTCTAACAAATTATTATTCTGAAATCTTGGATTACATATGTCATGGCTATAAAAGAATGAGTCAACAAAGTTGGTTAGTCAACCGATAAGCTTTTTTCAATTATTGCATATGATATGCAGTCGGTGAATTATATATCTGTGGTCAATATAATTTAGTAAAATGTGATAATTGTCTATGCAGGTCACTCAAACTTTTGCTGAAATGATGTTTAAGCATGGATTTGTGCATTGTGATCCTCATGCTGCTAACCTATTGGTTCGTCCGTTGCCTTCTAGCAAAATGAACATCATGGGTAAGGATTTGTCCCCTTGCCAAATTTGAAGTCTTTCTACAGCTGTGGTTACAAGATCCAAGTATACTCTAAAAATTCCCCACAAGCCACTGAAAACTCTATATCTTTTAGCATTTGACACTTGCTAGTCCAGTGAATGCTTTTGTCACATCTTTTGTAGTTTAACAAAATGTTGATATTTTAGCATGTCTTCTCTGTATCACTGATGGACCCGATCTTAATGGGCCTCAGACTTTTAAGTCTCGTGATAGGAAGAAGAATACTAAAACAAATAACAATGGGCTGGTCCCTGACGGAGAGTTTTCCAGGTAAACCCACACTCGCATGATGAGAACTGGTTGGATGAGCTGGAGGAGAGCTAGTGAGAGATGAGTGCTGGTTCATTGGAGGGAAAGGGAAGAAAGACAAAGAAAGATCTTGAGATGGGGAGAGACCTGCCTCTTGAAAGCGGGAAGCCATTTTCTTTATTCTCCACCTGTCTCATCTTTTCTGCTACCCTAATCTTAACCGGGTCATGATCATTTTCCACCCGAGCAGCATAGTGAACCCTTAAATAACAGTTAGTTGTTGAGGTGGGAGAACCATCTTACTTAGTTACTCCATATAACAACTTATCTGAATGCCATACCTGGAACAGCTTAAATTTTGTTCTAGAAAGAACGGAAATGCTGCTGGAGTGATTCTCAGCATTCGAATATTTATCCAAGAGAACGGGTTTGGAGGTCTATATGTTTTGGATTTGCTTGGAATTAGGATGGCACTATAATCCTCAAAAACGGATGACCACAAAAGAAGATCCCCACAAATGAATGTAATATTTGGGAGTCATTTAATGACAAAGGGTAAAACCCTGTCAATATTTGAAGAGCATGCTTTTATAGGTGTCAACATGGGGAAATGGCAGCGCCAAGATACTAGAATAGGGGGAACTTGGGATATTGATGGAAATGATAATCAGTACAAGATGAATGCCTCTTGCTGCATGTTTGAGACTGTGATTGAAATTTGAGATGTGTGTGTCCATGTTTGTCATAACTTGGTGGATCATATCTTATTTCCATATTTCTCAAAATTTTTAACTTGTGTCTTATCTCATTTATCATATATAGGCAAGAGGAAACCGCAGTTGATTCTTTTAGATCATGGACTCTATAAAGAGCTTGATTTCCATACAAGAACTAATTATGCTTCCTTATGGAAGGTACATTACTTATTTTTCATATTTGCTGTGATATGTCTCATTTGAGATTGTTGATTGCATCTCCTTCGTTCTCTCCTGTGATACAGGCATTGGTGTTTGCTGATGCTAAGGCAATAAAGGAGTATAGTGCAAAATTAGGCGCTGGAGAGGATTTATATGCACTATTTGCGGGAGTTCTAACCATGAGACCATGGAATAGAGTTGTTGACCGATCTGTGGATCATTTAGTTATACGGGGAAATGAGAGTGAGAGATCAGAATTGCAGGTGAGCTGTGGTTCAAGTGCAATTTCTCCTCTCTTTTGTTCTGATCAGCCTTAGATTAATTAATACCATTCTGAAATTTATGGCATGTTTGTCCCTATGGATGTAAAGGGAATTCCATTCTATCCTCTTCGCATACTGTTTATTATACTCTCATAGTCATTATTTAATAATATCTATTTTTCAAACATTATAGAAGCAGAGGCATGATGGTCGTTTTACTTCATGAAAAGCAAATAAATAAATAAATAATGCGCACAGACATACATATTTCAGTTCCATTTTATTTTTTTTTCCAATTCCCGAACATGCCCTGGGTGAAAGCAAAAGGTATGGTTGGAAGAAGATGAGAAAGGTATTTTCTTTTATCTGAAAGTGAATCATTGGTATTTGAAAATAATTTGCCGCATGTATCTAGAGTAAAATGAAATAAAACGTTGAGATGACTTTGCTAATTTATTTTGCAGGAGTATGCTTCTCAGTATTTCCCTCAAATCTCAGAGCTTCTAAGGAGATTACCACGCGTAATTCTTTTAATGCTGAAGACAAATGACTGTTTACGTGCAGTTAACAATTCTCTGGTATAGATTATCCTAGCTCTTTGTCTGCCCTCTACTTCATTACACATCATGTGACCTTAGGATATGTTTGGCTGAGTAAATAACGAGGGTGGGAATGGGAATGAGCGAGGACTATGTTTTCTTACAACTTAGAAAAGGGAGTGGGCAAATGATCATTCCCTTGGAAATGTGAGTTCCTTCAAACGAGGGAATGGTGACAAATGAAATTTCTATTCCATATTATCAGACAATTTCAATTATCTCCCCCACCCTCGACCACCTCCAATAATATTGACTATTCTTATTGTTGTATTTGAAGTAAGTTTTGGCTATCATAAATTGTTTAAAAAAGTAATTTTATTGTTCTCTAAAGTTAGGATACTAATGTCACTGGAATTTTTTTTTTTTAAATTTTTCATTCTTATATCTATTCTAGTTTACCTAACATTAGAATGGAGCGGAGTGAAATCTGCATTCCATATTGGCCATATGCCTTGCACAACAATGGAATGAAGATTCCATTCTCCCCCAAATTCATTTTTGAAACAACATGTGATCTTACTGTCTTTGAGGCGTGCAATTGATTAAAGAGATTAGATGAATGGAGTCGCATGAAACATTGCCAAATTCCTTCATGTTGTTGATTGACACAAGTACTATTTTGCAAATCATCCTTCAGAATGATTTTGAATCAACCGAGTCATCAATGCTAATGCTTGTTATAAAAAATGATAAGATGCTTTTTTATTTGGGATTCATTTTAAATTCTTAGAAAGGAAATTATTCCATGTGTTTTATTGACCTAGTCCTAATATTACCTAGTTTAAATTCTAGATATCTCCAAATTTTACTACTCCGGATGCTCCCTTCCCTATTTTCGTTCCACCCCTTTTTCCTTATCTATTCCTAGCTGTCACGGAGAGAACAAGACCTAAAGTTAGACGTTCTAGCCTATATTGCTCTGCATTATCCTTCGCTGACTCTTGAAACCTTTTGTTAGATAGAAGGACTTGTTGAATCCTGGGGAATGTCTCTTTATAGGCAAAACCTCAAGAACAATGATTTTGGCCCTAGCTCAAGCTTAATTTTCTTCTATATTACCAGTAATGCTAATGTGGAGAATGTAGCAAAGTTGAGCAGCTTGCTCAAGTAAGCTTCTATTGATTTTTGTCATGAAAACTGCCAGATTTGCCTCCTCCGGTATTTTTCTTTTTAGGTTCTGTTAAAACAAAATATAAGGTGATCATCCTTAGGCTAAACGTTTGTATCGTCTTGTAACTTCCTGAGGCCGTATCATAGTAAGCCTCCTCCCATCCTTACTGGCTAAGGCTAAGGCTAAGGCTAAGTCTAGGCTGGCGTTAAGGCAAGTTCTCACGTGAATAGACGTTTGAATATTTAGTCAGTGTCTGAAGCTTTGATCACTTGGATTGGTTGTTCACTTGCTCAAAGCGACGAAGCCTGCTCAATCTTCATATTCCCTGCCCCCATACCTGAATGAAGAGAAGTAATAGCTTGGGGAAAAAAAGGCCATTTCATCTAGAAAATCACATCAGAACTGGCAATTATATTCTGAGGGATTTTACAGTTATATATAACAAGAAGTAGACTATCATCTGTTTACAATACAGTTGAGTAGCCGTTCCTGTTTTCTATTATAGACCTTGATATTCCTGTTTTCTTTTGGCATCTTGGTCAGTTGCAGGGATCTTCTCTGGAGACTTATTATATCATCGGTAAGGTTTCTTCGAAGGCTGTGATTGAGGCAAAGATGAGGCAAAGCAAATCCCTTCTAACTTGGTTGAGTGTTGTACTGGATGACATTTTGCTGGAAGTGCGGCTCTGGGGAATGCAGATAGCCTTGTGGCTTTTACAACTCAGAAAGGCGTTGTCTTGGTCAAACCAAGGATCATAATCCAGAATGCAGACGTTCTCTGCCAACTTTGTTTCCCTAATTAATACAATTTTTTAAAAAATAAGTTACTGTATTCTTTGTCTCCGCGGTCAGAATTACCATTTTGCAGATTCTTTTGACGACAGATCGGCCAACCATATTTACATTATTTTAGATTGGAAAAAAAGAAGAAGAAGTGCTACTCACATTTTTTGTTATATAGTCCTGTATTCATTCTGATACTCGAAATTTGTTGTAAATCCCCGTTGATAAGGGGAGTAATTCATTGAGGATTAAAGAAGACAATAGAGCTCAATTTCAACTGTAGCATCTGCAACTTATTTGATGACTCTTTTATATCGTGAAGTTTCCAAAGATGATGTGGTTATCTGCCAACTTTATATTTCGTCCTCACTTTCTCTTTGATTTGGTGCAGTACGAAGGAAGCTTGACTATATGTTAGACATTGACTCAAATGAGCGTTGTATTATGTCTATCTCGTTGAGCTAGCAGGCGTACTTCTTTATGCTTGATGAAGTCTAAAGAGCAGCTTGTTGAGGTCCATTTTGACTTTCAAGTTTAAAACTGTTGTCTGAACTGGCCATTTAATAAAGCAGCTGACTTCCACGAGGTAGGGTCTAAAAGGGATAGATGTATGTAGTCTTATCCCCACAATTGAAGAGCCTATTTTTAAGATTTGAACTCATGACCTTTTAGGTCACATATTAGTAATCTTACTATTGCTCTGGGACTTTCCTTCTAGTTTAATTAAATAACTATTAGCTTGATTTTTGAATTCCATTTGGGGATGAGCAAATTGTATGTATGTATCAAGTTGAATCATTTATGTTAATTCTTTAGTTACAAACTTTTTACATATATTATGGTTAACTAATTCAAATTTGAATTAAGTTAGCCTAGGGAGGAACCTCCTAATAAAAGTTTGTCTATTTACAAAATCCTACTTTATTTTAAAATGATAACGAGTTAAGCCTCACTTGGAATAACTTATAAATAGCTTTTCAGTCATGATTTATGAAATGCGATATAAAAATGCAAGGGGTTTTATTTAGGCTTATGTAAAACTGTTTATAAGTGATTTGAAATGTAATGCTGAACAGGGTTTTAGTTTCTCACAATTTAACTTACTGGTTGATTCTTCTTGGTAGAATTATAATGAGGTTCCAAGTAAGGAAAATTATTATTAAAAAAATCCCAATAACAATCTAAGCAGTCTATAATAACAAGTTTCAAAGTAAAAAATAATAGCCTCTATGATTTATTTTGTAATTATTATTTTTTGAAATCTCTTCGTAATTCTCCCTTCTTCTTCTTCTTTTTTTTTTAAATTTTTACCAAAACACCTTTTTTTTTTTTGTATTTTTGGTATTACACAGGTCCTAATAGCAACCCCAAAAGAAAGACAAAAGATAAAAAGTTAATCATTTATTGCCAACTTGCTGAGGAAAAAAGAAGAAGAAGAAAACAAAAACACTATATTCTCAAGGCCATACCCTAGTCCCGGATTTACATTGGGTGCTCATTAGTTTTGATGAGCACCCAATACTCATCAGATCCGGACTGTCCAGATCTGATGTGGACAGTCCAAATTTATTTTTTATTTTTATCTTTTAAAAATAATTATTTTAATAGGTATAAGATAAAAAATAAAAATAATCTTTTAACAATCATTCTTTAAAAATATTTTTTTTCTATTTTAAAATAATTATTTAATAATATTAAATGGATCATCCAGATTAGATCTGAACGGTCCAGATTGCTCATCAGGTGATGAGCATTGGGTGCTCATTGATGAGCACCGAATGGGGACGCCCCCTAGTTCCTATCTATAAGAAAAACAAGCAAGGCTAACTAAAGTGGGCATCTTCACCCCACACCCTGACACAAGATTTTGTCTGAGCAAGGATATCTGGCATCTTGATTTTGCCTACTACAATATTAGCACTTGGGAAGTGCTTGTTTAGGGTTAGAATTCTCAAAAACATTTATTTATATAATTCAAAACAATTTTTTTCTCATATATTTATTTTATATTTTATAAATTATGACTTTAAAAAACTTTTTGCCCTAATTTAGATGAGTAAGGCAAAACCACAAAGGTGGTAAAACTCACCAAATATTTAACTTGGTTGCATTCTTAAATCAGGGCTTGTACTGAAGACTTAATCTGGTACATCCCATACTAGTTGAACCAAACATTTGATAGGTACGCGATTCTTTTATATGACCAGCCTGAAACAAGATTGACCACATGGATGGTCAATATGATATCACAAGCGAGTTGGCGATAAATGATTGGGTAAATTCCAATACCATATAAGGGCAGGGGCACACCTAGTTCTAAAGAAAAAGATGAAACATGGGCTTTTGTCTTTGAAAAGTAATACATAATATTCAAAGTCTTCAATGAAAATTTGACCCAAAAAAAAAAAAAGTCTTCAATGAAAAGGACAGATACGTAGGAAGCGAAGACTTCAATTATTTTGTGTAGTTTGGTGAACGGTGAACCCCCGCCGAAGAGTAGCGGGTAAAAGCAGAGCATCATAATGAAGTCATAAAGGAAAACCTACTCATCAGCTCCCAAACTTGATGTCTTTCTGCAATTCATTTTCCTCAACTAATCATTTATTGCTTTTGCGTAAATAAATGGATCTCATTTATACCTTCTTCATTCATTGCCCCTAGCTACTTTTCTTGTCCTTGTCTCCCTCACATTTTTATTCTTTCTTGCCATCAGTCTCACTCTTCACGAACTTCACACTCAAGTTATTATCATTCAGAGGTACTATTGCCAAAGCAAAGTCTAATACATGAATTATACTACTGGTGTGATCGTGTGAATGTACATACCAAATTGTTGTAACTTTCTATCCAAGGATTAAAAATTAAATAATAATATAACAAAGGATGAAATTGTGAATTCATTAATGATGTGACTTATAAATAAAATAAAAAATTTCCTTGTCACTTTATAAATAAGACTATGGAAGCATATAGAACCAATTTTGTGGGAGAGGATGTTGTTTATAGATTTATATATATGAATCCCCTGTATCGTATTGGGTTTGAAAAATAAATCATGTTATTTGTGCTTATTAATATTGTGGCTCCTCGTAATTTACAGTAATATATATTTATTATTAGGAATAAAAATGTTAAGACATACTAAATTAAATAATAAATTACATTTTGCTTTATCGAAGGCTAACATTTTTTTGACATAATTTGAATTTTTTTAATATTATTTTATAAAATAAACACAGGGAAATGGATCATTTTATTACCTTATGTTTCATTTCTTGAGCTTCAACTTTCAACTCGAGATTAAGTGAAGCATGTAAAATTTCAAAATATTGTTTTCGATAAAAAAAAATGCAAATTTTTGAAATTCAAAATATTGATTAAATGTTAAATTAATAATGATGTTGTTTTTGAAGTGATATTTCAATATTCAATCGAATTGAATGCTCTGAGTAATGCACCACCTAAAATGATTTCCAAATCTGTAAATAGAGCAATTAAATAATAAATAAATAAAACTGAATCGTACAATTAGTCTTCGAACGACTATATTAAAAGGTGATTTGTTCCATCAAACAAACACTACGGATATGGAGCAATTACGAGAAGACACATTTACAATTTACTAACCAACGATTTTCCCCCCAAAGAAGGCACACAAATTTCTGTATTTGATTGTGGACATCGTTTTCGTTACTTCATCGTTCTCCGAGAGGTACGGCGCCAAGGAAAAGAGTTCCCGGCGGTGGCGGTGACGCAGCGGCGGTATAGGGGAGGGCCATAAGTTTCCCGCTTGATTTATACTTTTTGCCTTACGCTTAGCTAAGCAGAGCAATGGTCGGACCGGAGAGGCCTCAGTTCGTTCTTTTCGGATCCTCCATCGTCCAACTAAGTTACGGCCATGGTGGTTGGGGCGCCATACTTTCTGACATTTACTCTCGCAAGGTACTAGCATAAATTCTCCTCCTTTTCTGTTTTTGACTCGATCATGAGTTTTGTTCGTTTGTGAATGGAGCTTTTAATTTGATTCATAAATAATTTACTTGGTAATGCTCTTATGTTTGTCGATGTATTCGTGATTTGTCATCCTTGATTTCCTCAAACTGAATAAATTAATGAATAATATAATGATTATTGTTCTGCTTATAGTACTACGTTTGACAAGCCAGTTGCTCAATAGGACAACAATTCTCAAGTTATCGAGTCGTTTAATAACTTCCGAGGTTTTGGATCTTGTGGCTTCCTTTTTGAAAGACATCTTGCTGGCTCGCTATTTAGGCATTATTTTATTTCATCGCATAGCACACCGATTGTTTACAGTGAAGATATCTGGGCGTTATAATTTGGTAGCCGATTATATTCCTCCTCTTCTAAAACTGGTTGAAGTCATATATAAATTCTCGTTCAATTGTGCAATTCTAAACTTCTATTCTTCGTGATAGATATCTGATATTCTATGTAAAACTCCTAGTGTAATCTTTCATCCACAAGGCTCAAACTTGAAACCTTGCTCAAGGAATCCTTCGCCTGACCCAACTGTTATTGGTTGCACTTCGACACTTCTTAATTGGATTTATTCTTCAAAACGTAACTGAAATTTTAATCGGTGTCTTGATCATGGATTTTGTCCATGAACCCAAGAATCATGGCATGTCGGAAGATAGGAGTTACTTGTATATTTTTAATGTCTATTATTCCCTTGTAATGATTATTTATAATTTTTTATCACCTTTTGAAGTGGGGACAAAAAAATTAATTTTCATCTCCAAAAACTTCTGTTCATTTCATTCATTTTCATCGTGTGAATTAGATGGGAGGGTGGTATAATTCATGACTTCTTGAGCTGATACGTTGCATGTGATCGGGCATTCTTACATTTATTCAATGAATATACCGGATACAGAAGCATAAAGAAGTTATTAATGTTTTATAAATTAGTTGTAGTCCTCTTATTTGGTTTTTCAAATATAACGGCTTCTCTAGGAATTCTATCGATTTTGATCTTACGTTTTATCCTCCCTTGTTATATTTCCTTACGAACGCCCTGAGTGAAACTAAAACATGGAAAGCCATTACATATGCTACACATTTGATTCACATTCATAAATGTATATGCGCGCTTTTTCTAGTTATGAAGTGGAGAGCAGGAGTTATGCGCAACCTCATTGGGATCATGGCCTTGTCATGACTCATGACTCTCTCTCTCTCTCTCACACACACACACACATCTTTTCTATTATAAAGTAGAAAAAAAGATAGATGTCCATGATTTCTTTTTTTTTAAGCTCTATCTTTTAGCTATGTTGTTATTTGACTTTTTGATCAAAGCCTTAGAAAGTATCCTAGCTTTAAATAGTTGAGGTTAAAAGTATGCATTTGCATCATCTTTAAGCAATCTTGCAATTCAATTCAGGCGGATATATTGTTACGGGGATACTTTGGATGGAATTCAAGGCGTGCTCTCCAAGTCCTTCATAAAGTTTTCCCGAAGGTATTGTACCTCTCTTCACTAGTAAAACAGTCGCTTAGCCATCTAATAGGTTATCAAAATAAAATGCTATTTCTGATGAGGCATGTGTTGTTCATTAATAGCTGATTGATAATACAGTTCAAAATGATTAATATATGGTTGAAAGACTTTGTTTCTTAAGTTGGTTCACTTTGTCAATATGCCAAGGGATTCCAAAATAACCACAAAAACACCTTGGTGCTTTAGCAGAGCTTTTGATCGGAGAGTCTGAATGCGCGCCTATATTTTTAGATTTAGAGTTTGGAGAGAGGGTTTTTTTTATTTCAAAACGTGCATAAGAGCTTTATATGTGTGGTTGGCTTCTTTTTCTCACTTTTCAGGATGCTGCTGTACAGCCTTCTCTTGTGATAGTTTATTTTGGAGGCAATGATTCAATGGGGCCTCACTCATCTGGCCTAGGCCCTCATGTACCTCTTCCCGAATATGTTGAAAACATGGAAAAGATTCTGATTCATCTTCAGGTACTTTTGCTGCATCGCTGTAGTTAAATTACCAATAACCAGGTTCTTTCTGCTGCACGTAGTCTTGCGTTAGAGGAAGTTATGTTCACTAATAGACACTTGCAACCCTAAGTAATTGTAAACAGGAAGCTGAATTTTTGTTGAAAAATATCAAGTTTGGGAAACAAGACTCAGTTATTGGAGGGTCTTCTTAGATGATGTATGAAACTCACTAAATCTTTGACCTGCTATTATATATTGGCATTTATTTCACCCGTCCTGTGTTATCTGAATATGGTTCCTTATTTTTAGAAGCTTTGACAATGGGACGGGAGAATGACTAATTTTCATTCGTACAGCTTTTAATATTTCCTTACTGGAATGTAATTTGCTAGAGAAAAATCATTGGGAGCTGAATTATGGAACTAAGAGATTAATGTCTAGACAAGTCAAATTTTAGCTTCCTCTGTGAGAAAGTCTGATCCCTCCTTTTCCAAGAACTGGTGGAGCCATGGAAGTGAATCTGTGGCTCTGAATTCTGACCTTGTCTGAGTATCTTTTCCAAACATGCCCCCAAAAAAAGTGCAGCGGGAAAAAATGTAAAGGCTGTTTAATGCTCCCTGGGAAACAAAGTGACCCAGCGTTGTGATGATGGTTAAATGGAAACAGTTTGCAAAAAGAAGCTTGTAACTTTTCCCCACGAAATATGCATATTTTATGTAAATGTTATCTGTTCACTTATATAAGTGGGTGGTCCTTTGCCCGCAAAGATGAGAGTTTATTTTCATTTTCCCCCCTCCCTTGGTAAGAATGGTAGGATAGATAATTTTAAAGATGACTATTGAATTTCAGAACCTCTCAGAAAAGACACGTATAATTGTTCTCAGCTGTCCGCCTGTCAATGAGGATAAAATTCGTGGGAACACTAGGTAATCTATTGATTTTTTTTCCATTTTCCTCCCTGATAACCTAATTCCTTCGAAATCATCTGATTTCCGTTGCCCTTCTGAATCAGTGGAATTTTTAGTGAGCTGCTAAGAACAAATGAGTTATGCCAAAGCTATTCAGAAGCTTGTATAAAGCTATGCAGGGAGATGGATGTGAAAGTTATAGATCTCTTTAATGCTCTACAGAGTACAGATGATTGGATGAATGCTTGTTTTACGTAAGTTTCCTTGATTTATTGTGTTTAATCTTCCTTTTTCTCAAATAATCCATGCAGTTCCAAAAATGCGTCATATTGCAATCAAATTGTTAAATGTCCAAATCTTTCAGGCATCTTTTGCCTGCTCTGCTATCTTTTCAGGCTAGCTTAAATCTGCAGTCTTTCATCTTAAATGCACACTGATCATTGAACAATCTTTATGAAGTCACTCCTCAACGCCATTTTCATTTTCCCTCTAGGAGGAATTTGCGTTGTTAAAATTTGAGTGAACTCTAACAGCTCTTAATGTCTTTATTTGATCAGTTGTCGTTCGTCAAAAATTATAATGACTGGATTGTACCAGAAGCTTGACAAAAAAAAGAATCACGCCTGGTGCTAAAAGAAAGAAGTAAAAGAAAAAACTAACTCCATCTGAGGCTTTCTTCACCCCTCCGAATTGGAAAGAGCAAAACTTAGATACATTACGAAATTGATTATTGCTCGACTCTTCTAGAGGCACCGTATTCCCGAATGATGCTTCATGAGTCATGAGATTTCACTTCCTTCTTTGGAGCCATTCTGACGACTGTTTTGAAATCACTTGATCACCAAACAAATTATATCTCATGTAGCACTGTGATGGAATACAGCGTCTCTGGAGATACTTCATAGACAAGTTTTCAACCTTGAAATAGAACCTAACGTAGAAGAGAATAAAGCTAAACATAAGTCTAAAGAGGAGTCTGATATCTTCTGCTGAAAATGTCTTTTGCAGTGATGGTATTCATTTATCTGCTAAGGGAAGCAAAATTGTGGTGAAGGAGATTTTAAGAGTGCTTAAGGAAGCTGAGTGGGAGCCGTGCCTCCACTGGAAGTCCATGCCCACAGAATTTTCAGAGGACTCCGCTTTTGATCTTGTTGCAGCTGATGGAAAAACTACATTAAATCCCTCGGAGTGGACCTTTTATAGGGAGATACAGTGGGACTAGGTTATGTTATCTTATGATATAGTCTCAATTATAGAGACACATCTAGCATTTGCCTTTTTTCCTCGATTAGGAGTTCCAGTTTGGTCTTTCTCTTTCATCAACTTAGTCTTTTTATACTTTCATTTAGAATTGAATAGAATATAGTATATCTATAACTAGAGTTGGCTTCATGTGTTTGCAGAGTCCAATTGTTCATGACTGTGAACAGTGCAACTCCCTATATTTTTTTATATTTTATATTAAATATAGTATATCTATAACTGGAGTTGGCTTCATGTGTTTGCAGAGTTCAATTGTTCATGACTGTGAACACTGCAACTCCTTTATTTTTTATTTTTTAATCTTTTATATTAAATTGAATGACTATTGAATTAATCCAAGATATTTGCCGTTTTGATTTTCCTTCTTCTTTTTTTTTCCTGGATAACAAAAGGAGAAAGTTTGCTAATTGACCGCCGCTTTTGGGACAAGAACCAATGGGGTCAGACAAGATTAAGGGGTCTCAACTGTGAATGTTTTTGTTTAGAGGTAGATGCTTTCTTTTTGAGGAGTGGGCTTAGCACAGTTGTGCGTGATCCACCTATACTCCAATAAATTGATAGGGGATTCAGATTTTAATGTTTAAACTATTTTATCATTTAATGTGTTCGATTGCGCAATTCAAATTTATGGAAGAGTTCTTCTTCTATATATGAATAACAAAAATGCATTACTCAGATAATCAAAATCTTCAAAGATTCAAGTGCTTTTGTTTAAATTTAAGTGATCTTATTTAAAACATACACGTGCAATTTTTTGTTTCTTTAATTCTTTAATACATGACCATATGCAAAATCTAATTTTAAACCATTTTTTTTTAATAATATCATGACCATTGGAGCCCTGATCCTTATCCACATTTTATTTTATCCTTACGCCAAATTGAAATTAAAATTTTTCATTAATTAAGGCCTTGTTTGTTAGGGTAGGGAGGGGGAGCAAGAAGTTGGACTTTTGGAAAGTAATGAAACACATTTTGCTTAGTTTACTAAAAGTTTTAACTTTTCACAAGGTTCCGTCAGCGCTAGGTAAATAATCTTGAGTAGAATTCACATAAGTTCTACTTCCCTAGCATTTTATCTCTCAACTCAAAAAATAATTTATTAATTTTCTAAAACTGATATTTTTGGAGAAGCTAGCGTAATTGAGCCAAGTCAGACTAATAATTAAACTTCTGCACAACGAGTTTCCCTTCTTGTCAAGAAAGGGAATGTTCTTACGTCAGTTTTTTGCCCCCCAGTGAAGGTTTTTTACTGCAGTTCTACAATTGGTGTAATTTACATCATCTTCATCTACTGATCCTGTTTTGGAATATTTCCTTCGAGCAATGCGTTAATTTGTTGTCCGATTAATTTTAAGTTGAAAATAATTTCTTCAAAATAAATTTGACTATCTTAGAAATTTATTTTATACTTCAAAATAATCCTTATTATGAGCAAATTAAAAAATATTAAATTAATTAGAAAATGAAATTTACTCAGAAATTATCATTATCAATCAATATTAAATATAAGATATAAACATCTATAGTAAACTTCACTGTTCATAAATCATAGACAGTATACTTTTCAAAAAATTAAATAAATCCCAATTAAACGTAATGTTGGATAATTTAAAATACTCCTCCGGTCCTTAATATAAGACCCATTTAACTAATTTGACTAGATTAAGGAAGTTAGGTAAGTTAGTTAATTATAAGAAAAGTGACACATTTTTCCTAAAACACCATAACCGTATTTCTTAATACTTCCTCTCCCTCTTCTACTTGATTATGGTTGAGAGAGTATCTATAAGGGTAATTTAGAAAAAATTGACAAATATGAGAAATGGGTCTTATATTTAGGACCAAAACCAACTTAAAAATTAGGTCCTATATTTAGGACCGGAGGAGTAACTGCATAGTAATAATTTTTTTAAAAAAAGTATTTGTTAGAGACATGGCTAAGAATTCCCTGTCGTTTTTTTTCAGTAAAAAAAATTAGGTGAATTGAGTCTTCACATGATAATAAGATTTAAACTTATAATTTTATGAGTTATAAACCAACTTGTTGCCAACAAAATTAACTCTTGTTGGTAGAATCCTGCTGCGTTGTTTGTTGCTTTGCAATAACTTCAGCATTTGATTAAAAAAAATTAAAAAAATCCCCCTGTTGATTGCGTAAGTTTCTTTTGCGCTGGTCAAAACAAAAAATAGTAAGGTGCCCTTTTGTTACCTTTTCAAAAAAAATTAAAATAAAAAAGTGGGGGTTAATGCGAAGTACACGAGGGCAAAGTAATGCCGCTTTTTGTCGACGTGGCACTTCTTTCTTGCACTTTTCACTTCGTCATCCGATCTGATCCACCCGGCCAGATATTTTCTCCTTCGCTATTACCTTCCCCACGCGCACCCCTCACCTTCACCCGTTGACCCCACCTCGAAATGTCTTCCTTCTCTGATATTATACCCCCAAAACCACCAAATTATGTGTTTTAAAAATTTATAAACTGTTTTGAATAAAAAGTAATTAAATCTTGGAAGGAATAGTTATTCACTAGGAAAATTTGAAAAAAATACTCATTAAAAATTTTGTTAATATGAATGAGCTAAATTAGAATGCTGATATTTATATGCATAAAATTAGTAAAGTATCAAACTTTTATATAAATATTTATCAAGTTTTTGTCATTACTAAATTTTTTGACAAAACATTGTTGTCCAAATTTTCTTCCCAATTTATAAATAAAAATAAGTTGCCGTTATCTGAAAAATACCCAAAAATGATTTAACAATGCACGCTCTAGCGTGGGCGCGTAAGGTCATGTGCCTCAGTGAATCACGACCTTGTATATATTATTCTTCCTTGCCCTGTTTCACATTTGCAATGTAGTTGAAATGAAAAGTACAGTTTCAGGATTATCTCAAGGAGGTAAGTCTGTGGTTCTTGTAGGTTTTTCTTAATCCCTCTTCAAATTTCCAGACCCACTTTGTTTTGCAATGTCTTTTCCCCTTTACCGCCAATAAATCTTAATCTTCATCGTTTCTCGTGCATGCATATGAATGAGTAAGTTTGATTCTTCCTCTGCCGTCATCGAATCTGCCATGGAAGATACCTCCGGTCCCCGCCAAAACCTACCTGGGAAGGGCCGCCACCGCCCCTCCCCGACCACCACCACCGTCAGCACCACAACCACCGGGGACTCCGACGGAGAAGTGGAGGCGGCCGAACAAGGCGACCCCAAGGCGTGGGCAGCGTTTAACAAGAGCTTCCGGCAGGTGCAGTCGGTGTTGGATCGTAACCGCCTTCTGATTCAGCAGGTGAACGAAAACCACCAGTCTAGGATTCCCGACAATATGGTGAAGAACGTGTCCTTGATTCAGGAGCTCAATGGAAATATCTCCAAGGTCGTCTCTCTTTACTCTGATCTCAATTCTAATTTCTCCACCATGTACCAGCAACGCGCCGATAATCGTAACGGAAGACCTGAGAAATGAAGGGCGTGAAGGATTATGATCAAATTCGTTCCTGTAATTTCCAGTTTACTCTCTTGATATAAGTTCAGGGTTGATGAGTTCTGTAATTGCTAGCAATTCTCTAGCTGTGTTCGTGTCCCTAGAAATAAAATATTTGTTAACTTTGGATAGTTGGTTATGTCTTCCAGTGGCACTTCGTAATATTTATTGAACAATTTTGATGCTAATATGGGGTTCTGTTTTGTTATTAATTAGAATAGTGAAAGCAAAGCGATGCATACTCCACTCGAACCTCTTCACAGCATGAGGTATTTACGAGGGGGGTTTGGTTGTTGACTAAGTAATCTGTAATGCATTTGTAATTGACTATGGAATTCTTCTTGAAACCAGTTAGCTAGTTACTGTGGAATGTGCACTCTGCGCAAGCATTATACATTGCCATGGCATACAGGATCTATGGAAGTAAGAGAAAAATAAGTTGTGTTCTTTTCCAGCTCTTTTAGTTTTCTGCCTTTTTTTTTTTGGGTTGTTGAATAAGAAGGATTAGTTTGTTTGATTGAATGCTAAAGGTGAACAACTATGCCCAGAATGAAATTGTCATCTAAAACTTTCCCAGTGTTGCTACATGTCCTTGTGTTCCCAATGTTGCCAGTTCCTAATGACACCTATGGGTTATTAAGAGATCAAGGAGCAAAAGTTGCCCGAACTTATGTTTGACTCTCTCTGGACAATAGTTTTTTGTGATTCTCAACCTCAATTGTTGCGCTGTTCTATAAACTATGTAGTTATCTGAATCTAATTTTAAGTTCTTTAAGGTACTGGATGACTAGGCAGTGGACAGAGATGGGTTTGCACAGCCAGAATGGAATAGAACCGTTTTCGTACCCTGTTCTTTAACAGCAGCCGCACATCATAGAGTGTGTTGGAGGAATGATTTCAGCGTGTGATATACCGATTATAATTTCTCTAAGCATGCACTTTTAAGACTTGTTAGCTAGATTCTTATGTTATATACGTATCAGTGTTGTGGTTCATAAGGTTGAAGATGGCAGAAATCTACACCTTGTTTCACGGCTTCAAGCCTCATGCCTCAGGTAAATATATAAAACTATCTGTGTGACGTGCCAGTCTCGTTTGAACGTTTGGATAGATCTGAGAGGATGCACTCCCTATCTTCTAAACCTGATATTATTGCGAGTGTTAAAAGTTCACTAAAAAAATAAGTTTTAAATCTGGGATTAGTGCTCATTGAGTGGAAAAGGAGCAGGGAGAATAACTTTTTTTAAGTTCCCTCGGGATTTGAAAGTTCAAAGTGCAGCAGCAGATACGGTAGCAGAGAATCAAATGAGATCTTCCACTTTTCTTCTGTTCATTTCAAGTGGTGTGATAAGGAATTCAGATCAGACGCACTGCATTTAGGTGGATACGTTTAAGCGTTTGGATTAGATTTTATCAAAATATCTTGTGCCAACTCATTGGACTTCCACAGCCTCCTCTCAAGGAAAGGGCCAACCGGGGAAATCAATTATGAATACCTTAACTGTGTTTGGAGGGACTATGGAAATGGTTCTGGTCGAATCCGAGTGAATCAATTAGATCTGTAATATCTATATCTTCTTTCCATTTAATTTTATAAATCATTATTCAAGGAGATCCCATACATTCAAATTTGTCATTTATGTTTTGTATATTCTATATCAGTCTGTTTTTTCACTGACAGAAACCGGAGATAATCTGAGGTCGCAACTATGGTCCCTTTTGGCTTTGCCTTGTCTTCATTCTCATAAGCCGCACCAATCGGGTCAAAGAGATCCATCGAACCATTGATATTTCTTCTATCAACCAATAAGGATACACTATAACATCAACTCTGATTTCATATTACGCGAATACTAGCTCTTTACAGTTTTCTGACTAGCTTATCAACAAACTGCGTTTTTGCTTGATGAAACTTCGTGTTTAAATTCCTGGCTAGGTCTGTTTTAGGAACAGATATTTACTGACTCATCAAAATTCAATTCTGCTATACGCGCGCACACCCCACAGGGAGGAGAAAAAACCAGAAAAAAAACAATTTGAGATAAACTGAACTAGTAGTTCTATCAACCTCAACTCAATGAAATACGTAACAAGTCAAATCATGAAGTAAATTCCCCACTGGCAAGTATAAGAACCTTGCCTTTGGGCTCGCCATTAGCGCTTCCTTGTGCTTCGATCTTGTAGACAACGTCCATCCCCGAGAGCACCTTCCCAAATACAACATGGCGGCCGTCCAACCTTCCAAGAATCCAATGCAGTCATGTAAGCTTGGAGAACAACCTCACCAGTGATGCTAGGAAGTATAACTAATTCATTCTTCCTACATATTTGGCCTTTTCTTTCAAGTTATGCATTATATCAGGAAATCTATAGTTCTATTGACTCAAGTTTCGTAAACGTTCAGAACCAGTACTGCAAAACTATATTGAATTACCAGCTAGTTTTAACCGTTGTTATAAAAAATTGTGAGCCATTTGTATCCGTTCCAGCATTCGCCATCGACAAGTATCCTGATAATCATACAGGAAGGTTGAGCCAGTCAGATGAAATGTATTTGTTTTAACATTATCACCTCTTGGATCATGCCAATTATAAATAAACAGGTAAATATATCAGACATTTCTCCAAGAACATGCTTCCTGACATATCTACTTTTAATTCACTTGGTTTCCCTATGTTTATAATGGAGATCCAAGGAAAAATGGAGTTCACTCTTAAAAAATGACTTGACCTAAGGAATATTACAAGCACTTGTGGCTTCTAAATATAAGACTCTATCATAGCACTGCCCTTTAAGAGCTGACATCATCGACAGCTACCTTACTGAAAGGGGACTAAGACAATATGAGAAGACTAAATCTCACATCCTATATTATCGATTAAGTTGGCATAAAATTTTGAGAGGTTCTACTCTTCATTTAGGTGCCTACCAGTTCACAGATCAAGTCAATCCAAAAATATATCTAGGCACATGAGCTTACCTGGTCCATTATGTTTCACTTTGAAGTTTTCATCAGCAAACCTGAAACCATAGATTGATTCTCCACCTCGTCCATCACCGCGGGTGAAATCACCCCCTTGGACCATAAAGCTGGGTATTATCCTATGGAATGTACTACCTTTGTAATGAAGAGGCTTCCCGCTTTTTCCTACGCCTTTCTCCCCTGAAATATAAGGGTTCTGTTTAACCGAAGATCAACAAGAAGCAGCAAAATTGGCGCTGAAATGGGCATTGAATACGTAAGCTTAATAATTAAAGATTTCAACGTGGTTTCATCACTAGATCAAGTACTTGAGTTATCACTACATATGAAAGGGAGCAGAAGCTGCGGAGTTACCAGTACAAAGTGCTCGAAAGTTTTCTGCATGAAAGGGATGTGAAATTAGTAACCAAATCCTTCAAACGAAATTAATCTGTCTCCACAAGCACCCGAAACAGAGCGATTTACCGCACAGTTGCATCATATTCATACCTACAGTTTTTGGAACCACTGCTCCAAAAAGTCCCATGAGTATGCGACCTGAAGGACCAACATTTAGAAATAGTGAGTGGTCTGCTTTGTCTCATGATAAGCATAATATCATTTTTTTTTTTTAATGATATGAATTACTATCTTTACTCGCTGTGAACCAGGCATTTAACATCAAATAGAAAACAAATGGGGATTAAAAATACTGCCATGCCTTCATAAATAGAGGACACGACAAAAAATGTGCAGTTTAGAAAGCCATTCGCATAATCAGGGGAGGTTAATGAGCAATGCTATCAATACAGAATTACAACATGCATTCACCCTTTCTCAGCAAGGCTACAGCTATGTTTAAATTCGTTTCAGCATCAAATTTCCATCATATAATATGAGAACAAAAGTGGAACACTAAGAAGCTCGTCCATGTGTATCAGGCATGTCGATACCAAATATCAAACAATTTCTAAAAATTTTGGATTTCATGAACGAGCGCAGAGATTAGAGGGAGAGAGAGAGCAAATTAACACATTAAAAAGTACATCACAAAGAATTGTATGTTTAAATTCATTTCAGCATCAAGAATTGAGTATTAGGTTGTTGTTGATTTGATCCACGCAACTGATTCCACTTAGTTGAATAAAGCCAAAGATTAAGATCCTATATATATTCTAGGGCCATTACCGACCTGTTTCAAGATATATTAGGGCCAAAAAATTATGAAAATGTGAATACTAGAATAGAATATACGTTAACAGTATCAGATACTATCTCCCTCCTTTCTTTCTCGGCTAAAAAGTGCTTCCTATCAGATGTCAGATGAGTCCATTATTCTTCGAAGCAAGAAATGGATAAGAACGTATTGCAGTTGCAAATTTCCTCGAGGATTGCTAGATGACACAAACCATCTTCCAGGCTAATTTGAAGTCACAACTCATAACAGCCATGTATGATGTCCTAGATTCAGTAAGACATAAACTCCCCTCTAACAATTAATATATGATTCGGTTCCTAAAATTCCCACAATAATTACCAAAAAAAGCACGCAAAAACCTGGTAAATAATACCGAATTACAAGCTCAGGTTCTGAATCGCATTAATGGAAATTTCAAGGATCTAACTAGTTCAAAAATACCCGCAAGTTTCCCATCGATCTCTATATCAAAAAACACTTTGTGGGTGACTCCCTCCAAATCCTCTTCAGCTGGGTTTTCCTGCAGAACATATGATCGGAGAGAGAGAAACAGGGTAAGGAGAGATCCTGAAATGAAAGAACAGAATGAGAACAAGTAGCGAAAAGATCGATCATTATTGATTCTCACCGAACGGTGCGCAGTTTCAATGGCCTTGTGGTGAGACGAACGGTCTCCTCCGTTCTCTATCAGTTTAAGCTGAAAGAATGCTATTGTCGCGCACAGCATGAAAACCCAGAAAAGACAAGCCGAAACCACCGTTCTGTTGGCTTTAATCGCCATTTTCTGAGCTTTCGCCTGTGACTGCGAGCCTCAAGTTCTCTTCCACCCAAAAGTAAAATTGCTATTTCATAAACTCCTTTCACTGTTAGTTCGTTGCTTTCTGGAAAATGTTTCAGATCAAGCTTCAAGAACTCCTGCAACGAAAGAAACATCTTATCTTTTTAGCATTTATGCTTTATTGCTCTGACCAAATAATAAATGCAAGTGTCAAAATAAATGATAGAGCTGAGAACTTTGTTACTTTTACCCAAAAAAATAATAACAAATAGAGTTCAATATTTAAATTCTGAAGTAATTAATTGAGTGGTTCAAGTTCTCATTTTAGAAAGATATGCACATAGGTAACAAAAATATTTTTAAAAAAAATTTAATGTTTTTATTTTCAATTTCATCACCGACATGTATAACTTAGATTGATAATTCACATCCCGTTTGATTTTTTAAAAGAATTGTTTTCATGGGAATAAGAATAATTATGGAATGAGGTTTATAATTTTAATTAGGGAAAATTTCACTGTATGACCGCAAAAGACAATTAATATCAAAGAGCTCCCAAAACTTTCTGAAACCTCACTGTAGGACCAAGGGACCAATTTGATATTAATTTTTAGAGTGAGATTACAATAATACCCCTCCTTTTTTATTTTATTAAAAAAATAAATATTTACCGGAGTTACTGTTCCGGCCACCGGCGCTCAGGTGGCCGCCGTCAGGGTCCGGTCACCGGTGGCCGGAACAGTAACTCCAGCGGGACCTCCGGTGGCCGGAGTTTTTTTGTTTAAAACAAAGTGACCAAGGGAGGGTTTGAACCCAGGACCCCTTGGCACACCAAAAGACTTGTAACCACCAAGCCAAGCAACCCATTCAATCATAAAATGCAAATAAAACTACATATAACAAAATAAACGCAACAGTCCAAATGTAAGTGAACAAGTGAAATTAGACGATTTACAAGTGGAATTCAAAAATTTGCAACAAAAGTTAGGCAATTTACAAATAACATAATAGAAGTCATAACCAAAAATGCAAGTGTTTAAGTGCAAATGAGCAAGTAAAATTTGAAGATTTACAATAAAAGTTTATGGATTTACAACCCAAATTTGGTAAACACAAGAGAATTCACAACCCAAAATGTAAGTGTTTGAGTGTAAGTGAACAAGTGAAATTAGACGATTTACAAGTGGAATTCATCAATTTACAACAAAAATTAGGCAATTTACAAATAACATAATGGAACTCACAATCCCAAATACAAGTGTTTAAGTGTAAATGAGCAAATAAAATTTGAAGATTTACAACAAAAGTTTAAAGATTTGCAAGTGAAATTCGACAATTTCACTTATTCATTTGCACTTAAACACTTGCATTTGGAGTTATGACTTCTATTATGTTATTTGTAAATTGCCTAATTTTTGTTGTAAATTTCTGAATTCCACTTGTAAATCGTCTAATTTTACTTGTTCACTTACACTCAAACACTTACATTTTAAGTTGTGAATTCTCTTGTGTTTACCAAATTTGGGTTGTAAATCCATAAAATTTTATTGTAAATCTTCAAATTTCACTTGCTCATTTGCACTTAAACACTTGCATTTGGGGTTATGATTTCTATTATGTTATTTGTAAATTGTCTAATTTTTGTTGTAAATTGCTGAATTACACTTGTAAATCGTCTAATTTCACTTGTTCACTTACACTCAAACACTTACATTGTGGGTTGTGAATTCTCTTGTGTTTGCCAAATTTGGGTTGTAAATCCATAAATTTTTATTGTAAATCTTCAAATTTCACTTGCTTATTTGCACTTAAACACTTGCATTTGGGGTTATGACTTCTATTATGTTATTTGTAAATTGTCTAATTTTTGTTGTAAATTGCTGAATTACACTTGTAAATCGTCTAATTTCATTTGTTCACTTACATTCAAACACTTACATTTTGGGTTGTGAATTCTCTTGTATTTGCCAAATTTGGATTGTAAATCCATAAACTTTTATTATAAATCTTCAAATTTTACTTGCTCATTTGCACTTAAACACTTGCATTTTGGGTTATGACTTCTATTATGTTATTTGTAAATTGCCTAACTTTTGTTGCAAATTTTTGAATTCCACTTGTAAATCGTCTAATTTCACTTGTTCACTTACATTTGGACTGTTGCATTTATTTTGTTATATGTAGTTTTATTTACATTTTATGATTGAATGGGTTGCTTGGCTTGGTGGTTACAAGTCTTTTGGTGTGCCAAGGGGTCCTGGGTTCAAACCCTCCCTTGGCCACTTTGTTTTAAACAAAAAAACTCCGGCCACCGGAGGTCCCGTCGAAGTTACTGTTCCGGCCACCGGTGACCGGACCCCGACGGCGGCCACCTGAGCGCCGGTGGCCGGAACAGTAACTCCAGTAAATATTTATTTTTTAATAAAATAAAAAGGGAGGGATATTATTGTAATCTCACTCTAAAAATTAATATCAGATTGGTCCCTTGGTCCTGCAGTGAGGTTTCAGAAAGTTTTGAGGGCTCTTTGAGATTATTTGCCTTCTGCGGTCCTACAGTGAAATTCCCCCTTTTAATTATGCTTGTAAGCTGTAATGGTTGCAAAACAAATTATAAAAGTATTATCTTATATCCTTTGGACAAGAACAATAGTATTAACTTTTAGTTGTTCAATTTTTACCATGGTTATACCTGAGTTTTTTAATTATTATTGGACACCACTCAATCTCTCAATTTTTGATTAGTTTATGACTGAGTTTTATATCTTTTGACTTTTTATATTATTATCCTTACATTTTATAGCTCATTGTGAGTTTTCGTATATAGCAAAAATGAGTCATGAAATTGCTTCTAACTTAACTTTATATAACTGAAATTGCAAAAGATTAACCAAATAATGGGATGAAAAGAAAAGAGAATAAATAATAGACAAAACAAAATTTGAGGAATTGAGTCGTATCAAACAATAATTGAAAGAACGAGTTATAAATAAATCAAATGTTGAATGAGTAGAAGATTAATTTTTCCATCAATATTTTATGAAGCTACCACATAGTGTATTGGTTTCTTTAGTGTTAAACATAGCTTCTTAAAAAAAATCCATAATGTAATGTCTTCAAAGAATAGTTGATGATGATTGATGAACATGAGAAGAAATATTATTGTACGTTTATAATATATAAGAAAAACCTTCGACAATTCAATGTTTTTGTCTTTTTGAATAAAAATTTGGGTACCTCGACACTTTAATTTTATTGTTTAACTGTTCTGTACGGACTCTAGGCAGTTCTCAACAGAGATTTAGATATCCCATGTAGTGTACTCCTCCGGTCCTTAATATAGAACCCAATTTTTGAGTTAGTTTTAGTCCTAAATATAAGACTCATTTTTCATATTTATCAATTTTCCTTAATTACCCTTATGAATACTCTCTCAAGTATAATCAAGTAGAAGAGGGAGATGAGGTATTATAAAAAATGATTATGGTGTTTTAGGAAAAATGTGTCACTTTTTTTATAATTAACTAACTTACCTAACTTCCTTAATCTAATCAAATTATTTAAATGGGTCTTATATTAAGGACCGGAGGAGTACTTTGCATGTAACCTTATTTGGCAGGCAAGAGAGGTTTAGCATACGGAGAAGATGATTATTCATGATACTAAAAAAGAAAATACATGTTCTAGACAAATGTCTACTACTCAAATGGTACTCAAAGTGACAAAGCAAGAATTAAAAGCTAAATGTTGTGAAGGTTAGAAACATAAACATTATAACCCTATTGTGCCAATTATAGTGAGAGGAACTTCAATTATTTAAATATCACATCCCAAGTTTAAATATGCGTAAATGCAGAAAATATATTCAGAAAAGTTGCTTTTAATTGGGCTCGACAATTTTTGAACATAACTCATTCAGATAACCATATAAAAAAAACATTAATATGGTACAAGTTTTTTTTTGGGGTAAAGAATTGGTATTGTTAATGAAAACCATTTTGCTAAAATGATAACTAACAAGGTATGGACAGTGTATTATTGGAACATTGGTTTGTTGACTAGGTTAGTTGAGAAGAATTAATTGTTAAACATTGGTTATAATCTAAGTCTATATAAAGGGTATTGGTTTTTTTTTTCTGGTAAAAAAATAGAATTTCATTTTTTTAATAAAAACTCAAAATGCATTATAAATAAAAATAAAGTTTATAAGGTTAAAATGAACTAAAAGAAAAGGACCTGATTAGACAAAAGTCCTAAATCTAAAAGAGTAGCAAATGATATAATTTTAACATCAAATAAATCAAAATCTTTGAACAAATACCGAATATCTTGAAACACCACATAGTATTTCTCCGCTTGTAAAAAAGTTTTATTAATAGGAACTTTGCCAACACAGCGTAAGCAAAGATTAGCTTTGTTAATGTAATTGTGTGATGCACAACCCTTTATTCAAAAAAGAGCTATTTTGAGACTCTAATCATAGGACATAAATCCTGGTGAGTGTTTTTTTTTTTTTTACCAAAAGAATTGGTACAAAATCTCTCTATGTAAAGGCAGTGAGATTACAATGAAAGTCTCTATTCTTGGAAATTTTCTTTAAACCAATGTCACGGTATAAAAGAGTATTTGGAACACCCAAAAATGATTTTAAAAAGTATTTTTTGTAAATTGAAATAAATCCATCCACATGTTTACTTAATATGTCAAAAAATTATTTTTAAACTTATAATTTGATTTTCACCCAAATATTCTTTTAAGATGGAGACACGTTAAGACAGACAAAACAGCTAAACGGCAGATTCAAAGACCTTGACCCGGGCCAAAAGAAAAGTAGAAAACCTCAGAGCAATAGGGATTGGGGGGTTTGATAAAATCCACAAATATGAGTAATAAAAAGCCACTTGCAAATTCTTAAACGGTGAAACGTTGAAAACTAGAAACAGACACAAATGAAGGCAGAATGATGAGACCAAATGATGCTTTTGTTTTTTTTTCTTGAAAAAAACCTCATTATTTGCAGGCACTCTTCCTAATCGCCAAATTTAATTCGTTAAAACCAACATCATCAAACTCGTCAAAGATTTTGATTGCTAGTGTTTGGAATTTCAATTTATTAAATACTCATGTGATTAAATTCAGACTGT